AGGCGACGACTTTTTACTGACCGTAGATGAGAAATCGCTTGCCCAGTCGTTTCTTCAGCTCCCCGCGAAGGTAATCCCAATCACGTACTCTGAAAGTTCATGTCATGGATGACCGTACGAGCTGGATTCAGACTTCGAATGACAAGCGATGGCTGGATCAATGGCGATAACTTGCGAGACCTACGTGGACACGATGCCGTGAACAAGAATGACTGCATGAACTGGCTTCTCCTCACTGCGTTTCGACACTTCGCTTGCTGATTGTTTCGAAAACCGCGAGCTTTTTGACGAGCTTGATGTGTCTTCGACAACGTCCATACTTCCTGCCTCTTGCCCTTGAGCTTTTACTACCTGCGACCGGTCCTTAATATCTAGCCAACCACTAATCTGCCTGCATTGAATATTTGCCGTGCATCTTAGTAAGCCGTGCTGTACGCCAGTAGAACAAGGCAGTCTCAATAAGCAGTGCTGTGCTCCAGTGAAACGAGGCAGGGACAAGCACAAATTCAACATCCTGAAAATACCCTAACCGAAGGGCCTAAGTAGGCTCGCACGCCGCTAGCCCGAGACCATCGCGACACGGTCAAATGCAAATTGATCGCTGCTATACTGAACTGAACTGCCCTCGGCGCGCAGTGCCTAACGCCCAAGGCTGCGGTGTTGATGCTACTCGTTGATATTGCCGCATGGGAGAGAGTCTTGGGTTGGGTGATGCGCTGGCAAGCAGGTGATGCAGGCGGGAACTCGTGTCATAACCAGCCCAAGGTGACACGAGAAGTGACGATTCTCAGGTGATTTGTAAGCAGTGTGGGGACCACCGAGTGGTGGCTTTGTTACGGAGTAGGTGACCTTCTACACGACTTCGAAAGCACACCTGATTGATTCACTAAAATACTCCACGGAACCACACTCTATGTTGAACCATACGGTATCAATAATTTATCAGCGTTATTAACAAGATTTACACAAGCTCTGAGGCAACAACATTCACACAATCACTGAGGCCTTCGCCGCTAGCTTGCCAGAGAATAGTTCCCACAATTTACGGGAGTGTCTGCACGCCAAGCATCACGCTGCTCATACAAAGCTTGGCTAAGTTTTCGCGCCGTTGTTCCAGGCTTTTAATGTATTGGATAGCCATGCTGATTAAGGTGCACGTGTCCATCTTGGTGAACGACGCCCGCCTCTGCTGACAAAACGTGGACGGAATAACGTTTTCGAGTTTGTTGAACCCAGCCCTAAAAATAAGAAACAGTATTGAAGACGATTAGCGATTTATTCGAACAGACAGCAGACACCGAGTCGCGACTTAGGATATTAGAAAAAAGCACAGACTCGGTTTGATTTGTCAAGATGTCTAAAAAAGAAAAAAGAAAAAAAGGCTTACAAGATGCGGTGGCGGCGATTCTTCTCGCGCATACTTCTCGGCTGGATATTTCCGGAACTATTTCCGCTCCCTTGAGATCCACGGTTAGGCATAACGAGATGATCTGGGTGCGGCGGCGTCGGAGCAGCAGCTGTGTCGCGACAATCCGCTAAAACAGCCCGCTGAGCAGACAATTCGTCACAACGCGAGGAAATTACTTCCACCTTAAATCGCGGAAACGCTTCTATGGTGTTTCCGGCGACACACGACGGCACGACGGCTTGGCTTGCTGGAAGAGAGTTTCCCGCCGCGATAAGCGCGTCGTTGAGCATGTGCTGGATGATAGCAGCATTGTCTAATTTCGAGTTGAGACCCCTCGACTTCTTGGGGCTATGGCGGCTGACGTCTTCGTCCAAGCAACGTTTTTTCCCAACTGTAGCAGATTCGTCGTCGCCCGAGTCGCATCTCTTCTTCTCTGGAAAGGAAAGCTCTGTGGAAGCTGACATGGCCGCGTGGCGACTCGATAATTTCGGGTACGAAACAGGAGGCACGTCGCAGGGCATCCTTTTACACACGGGTTGCCAACGAAAGTTCTCATACCACGGCTCCAAGTCAACAAGTTCGGGAAGGAAGTTGGCGAAGGCTTGTGACATTGTAAGGAAGGGGCTGTGTGGTCTTGGAGCTGTGTAATTTGCGGATCTACTCAATGCGTGGCGGGACGCATTTGAGCTGCGACATCCTTTTGAAGACAATCAGCAGGCACTGCTCAGACAGTGACTTGCAGGACGACCAGGGCACTTGCAGGAGGGGGAGGGGGGTGGGGGGGATTGGGGGGGCGGGGGCGGCGGGAAGGAGGGTGCGCGGGGAGTCAGGGAAAATGGGCTCGAGGGCGCAGGCGGATATTCTATTTGGCTATTCTTCCGCGCTTCTGTGAGGGGTCATGATGGATAACATGACTCATTCTGTTGTCCCCCTCCCCTCGCTCCGCCAACGCCCCATGCTCGTGATGCTGCTCACTCTCCCTCTGCCCTCCTCCCCCCCCTCACACTCAACGGGGAAATCACATCAGCAGGCAAAGGGCAAGAACAATGTAGGGGGGAGAGTGGAATCAGATGCATTTAGACACGATGGAAAGAACGAGGGAGATTGGAGGCGATTGTTTGTCGCTTTTCAAGATTCGAACAGAACCGGATCGGCTCGCTGCAAGATACTGTTCACGTGCTTCAGCAAGAAAACCGATTTTTATGACAGCTCAGACCAGAGGAGTCTCTGATACGTTGGGCTGCAAGAGCAAGCTTGTGCTGGATTGGGCTGAATCGTCCGCCATAGGATGATGTGGACACAATCTAGCATCTACTGGTTCTCACATGCCCCCTGGCGAAACAAATGGCAGGGATTTGCCGGTGCTTGTGTCCGTATCCGAAAAGAATCACGTGAATATATAATATTAAATGCCCTCATTCTAAGTGAATCACCGTTACACAACCTCGAAGAGCCAAGTGAACCCCTGCGAAATCCTCTTGTTTGAAACGCCCGCTAATAAAATGAGCGCTGCTACCCTAACTTTCCTAATACATAACACAAAGGTTATCCAGAAAACAAATGCAGATGGGGATTGTCTACACGCGCATGCAACTGTTTCATGTAATATCTCAATATTTTAATACAAAATAAGGGAATTAATATCAGATTAAATGTCTATTTAGGACTGTATAACTCAATCTAATGCCATATTTTTATCATCTTGTTATTTCCATCCACTATGACACGTTCTCTCTATAGACTTCCACTGTATCAAAATCCTAGCAACTTATAATGTCCGATAGATCCTTGATTTTTTCTAACATGTATTATATATCGCTATAATAATAAAGAAGATTAATGTGGTTTGAAGTCAAATTGGAAAACAATGACCTTTGGCTAGTAAAAGTGTAGATAGTAAGGTTCAGCGAACTGCTTCTGTCTGGGACTGTTTATACATATCATTGCTGCTGACTGGAGGCTTACCACCATTACACTGGTGGCGTCCCTCCCTCGTCAGCGTCGCATTCCGCCCCTCCTGTAATCACCTCCCCGGCCCCTTCCGCCACTTGCCCCAGCTCTCCGCACGACTGTTCCCTCCTTTCCTCCTCTGCCACCACCCCTCCGCCTCCCCCCATCCCTCCCCTTCTACCTTACTTGCCCCCATTTCCCCCGTGTTCCCCGTCTCCCCTTTCCCCCTCTTTTCCCCCAACCACTCAACTCCATGCCCGTTCTAGTCTGCCCTAATCCTTTTCCATACCTCCTTTTTTCCCTCCTCTTCCTCCCCTAGTCCCCGCTGCCCAGTAGCAGCAGTTTAGCAGCAGCCTGCGAGGCGATTAAGGCCGAAGCGCGTCAAGATGGTGCAGCCGCTTGTGAAGCCGAAGATCGTGAAGAAGAAGACGAACAAGTTCTGGCGGCCCCAATCCGACAGGAAAAAATGCGTGCCCGTGAGTCATTTTTATCGGAGGATGATGCGGACACCCCGTGCTTACGCTTCGACTTTCCCGTAGCGCACCACAGATTCAGGAACCGAAGCAGCAGGTTTATTTCGCTAGACTAACCGATTGAACGCGACAAGTGGAGTATTTTAGGCCAGCATTTCAGACCACGACGATCGAAGCTGCTCGTATGCTCGATCTGACGCGAGCCGTCTAGCTCGTTCACGTGGCAACACGGGGTTCGTAACATGTCGCTTATCGGTGCCGTGCTCAGGCTGCTGCTTCCAGGTTATGGAAGCGAGCTTCGTCTAGATTTGCCGGATAAGCCTGCACGCTCAGGATGTTGCCGTGAGAGGGATGCATTGTCAGGAGCAGTGAGATTGCATTACCCGGGGACAGGATTCGAAGCTTGAATGAAGATAGTGGTGGTGTATCTGAGTAGTAGTTGCGAAGTAGTATTAGTAGCTCCTTACTAGCGAAGCAGCGGACGCGTGGGTCGTCCGCGCTCGCAAGGACCGCTGGGATGTTGGACAGCGCATTCACGGGTTTCAGATGTTTCATATCCAGTGTGACGCTCCAACACAGTTATGGATTTCAGACGTTGCCGTTAGAAATATATCGACAGCTAGACCGTCAGATTCATATCGACGAGTCGGGCGCTACAGAAGCGAGGCCGCCAACGTTGTAACAGATTCGACGAGTTGATCGATTTACGCCGATCAGTTTTCGTTGATCGTTAGTTAACGCCGATCACTTCCTCGTGTGTCAATACGCCAGCTGACTCGGCTCGAGCGAGCCTCTTGCTGACTCAGCATCCAGTCTCCTTATCCCCCGTTCCGGTGTTTTAGGATTGTATAGTACCCGCACCATTTCCTTCCTCCTTTCCTTCTTGTCACCCTTCATCATTCCTCACATCATCCTTTCCCTCCGGCTTGCCCTCCCTTCAATATCCCCTCGCTCCCACTTCCCCCCTCGTCATCCGTCCACAACATTTCTCCTGTCCTTATTATTATCTCTTTCCCTCCTCCCTCTCCCACCCCCCCCCTCCCCGCCCTCTTCCCCCCCCGTGACCCGCATCCCTCCCTCTTTCGTCCCGTCTCCCTTCCTCTATCCACTTGTCCCTCCCACTTCCTCCTCTTTCCTTCCTATTTTTTCTCCTTGCTTCCTCATTTTCCTCACTTCCACATTCCCGTCGCTTCCCCATTCACCGTGACTTTCCTTCTCTCCTCCTCGCTTTCGTATTCCCCTTTTCGCTTCCTTATTCTCCTCATTCTCCTCCCCGGCGTCCTCTTCTCTCTCTCTCTCTCTCTCTCTCTCTCTCTCTCTCTCTCTCTCTCTCTCTCTCTCTCTCTCTCTCTCTCTCTCTCTCTCTCTCTCTCTCTTTCGATTTCTTCATTCCTGCCGTTTCCTTTCGCCCCATGCTCCCTCGTCCTCCCATCCTCTCTCGGCGCTCTCCCCCCACCCTTCCCGGCCCCCGCTGCACCCCGCCCCAACCTCTTTAACAAGGAGGCTCAAGGGCATTGACTCGCGTGTTCGGCGCGAGTTCAAGGGCACGCCGCTAATGACTCTCCTTTTTCCTTCCGCTCATCTTAAACTTCCGATCCCCGGCGCTCTTTCTTCCCCTCTCGCCCCCTTTCCTGCCCTTCCCCCATCCCGCTTCCCCTCAACAGGAGAGCTGGCGGAGGCCCAAGGGTATTGACTCGCGCGTTCGGCGCAAGTTCAAGGGCACGCCGCTGATGCCCAACATCGGCTACGGCAGCAACAAGAAGACGCGGCACATGCTGCGCAGCGGGTTCCAGGTGTTCCGCGTGCACAACGAGAGGGACGTGGAGCTCCTGCTCATGCACAACAGGTACAGTAGTTTGCTGTTGATTGTTTCATTCTAAAAGTATAGTAGTTAGGGTGTTGGCTACGGCAGCAACAAGAACACGCTGCAAATGCTGCACAGCAGTTTCCAGGTACAGTAAACCTACTGTAGATGTTTTCATGTAAATTAGATAGAACTCCAGTTACATGTGGCAAGAGCAAGGCCAGGCACTTTCTCCGCAGCCGGTTCCTGGTGTTACAGGTGTTAGGGGTAACAGCTACATGTAGCACAGGAGGATCCTGACCAAGCCGCGTGACGTCTTTATAGTGTTACTTAGAGGTGCTGTGCACAGCGAGCCACAGCGAGAGCCATTCCTCTTTGCTGAGAGATGCACCACCAAAGTATCCCCGCTGTGAATTGCAGTCCGATCCAGGCGCCGTATACCTGCTGAGCATTAGCGTCAGGACTTTTGAGAAATCTAAAGTGACTTCAACAGAGCCAGTCCTCGCTGTAAATCTGCAGTTCGACTCAGGCGCCATACACCTGTAGAGGGCTAGCATCAGCACTTTCCACCCCCCTGTTTTTTTTCCCCTGCCAAAGCCACTTCTCCCTCCCCTCTCGCGCCCCTCCCTCCCCTCTCGCGCCCCTCCCTCCCCTTCTTGCCCCTCCACCCTCTCCCCGCCCCCTTGCACCCTCCTCCCCCCCCCCCCGCACCTTTCCCACTTCTCTCTTTCGTGCGCCTCTTCTCGTCGCGTCCTCCATAATCCATTGCCGTCATCCACGTCTCGTTATCACGGTAGTATAGCGCGACTCTGAAAGTGTATTCCCTGTCGAAGGACGTCTTGAAAGGATGCCCTTCTACGTCCTGACTCGATGTTCAGTGTCACGTCAGTGTACTGTGCTGTGCGGACCACTGTTTAGTCCCCTAATGCCCCCCTATTGCCAAGAGAGTTGAGGGTTTCAAGTGTGATTCTCTTTCTTCAACACCCCACCCCTACACAACCCCTTGCTCCTGTGACCCGTCCATGCACTCATAGCACCATCCAGCCCTCCCGCCTTAGCATCCATCCATCCTTCTGTCCCTCTCTCCCTGCTCCCCTTCCGCGTTTGTAAATAACCCAATCTCCATTCTTCATTGAGTTGGTTCTTCGGGAAAGGAAAATGGACCGCTCACAGCGCCTGCCTTGTCCACCTGGGCCATAATTGAGCCGGCGCAGCAGCTGGATGTAATGAGTGGAACGGGTGTGCTATATCACCATTCAAGAATATAACTATTTTGTCTACTGCTCATTGTCTTCTCGCCCTTGCAGGAAGTATGTGGCTCAGATTGCCTCTGCCGTGTCGACGCGCAAGCGCAAGGCCATTGTGGAGAGGGCGCAGCAGCTGGATGTGAAGGTTATCAACGGCAACGCTCGCCTGCGCAGCACTGAGGACGAATAGACTTAACACTCTTGTCTTGAATCGTGCTAGCCTGCATTGCATGCTTGTCGATGTGTATGCACCAGAGTTGCTTGTAACTTCCGGCTATGTTACAAGTTTCTGTATCTCTTCGAGGCAGGGTCTTACGAATAGCTGTGGTGCCTCTTGCTGAGATAACACAGGCAGCACCTGGAAGGTGGTGACGAACTTGGCGTTTGCGCAGTAGCGAAGTCCAGCGTGATGTACACTTCCCACACGAACGCTGTTGTTACACACAAGTACTCAGTACAGAAATTCGCCAATTTACTTGCTTTGTCTGGTTGCAGGTAGGGAGAAATATGTTTTGGAAAGCACCCACACTCAAGATAAATGTTCAGGTGCATTAGTTAGAGAGAGGGACAGCCTGGTTGCATTATTAATCTCACAGTAGCAGAGCATGGTTAGAGAAAGGGACAGCCTGGTTTCAGAGCTTCGGCCAGTCTGTTCATTCAGCACTCCAGAATCTACCCGTACCTAAAATGTCCTGCGCCAGATCAACGAGTAAATCATGAGATGTCTATGTATCACCAGAACCGCACGAAGGGGTTTCAGCAACCCCTACATACTACACACTCTTGAAATGGTGGCCGAATCGGACCAGATTCATTGCATCTTTTCACGTCATGTGTCCTGCCAGCCACCATCCCACGTCACAGCATTCATACCAAATCCCACTAAACCAGGTGAGATGCTGGTTGCTGGGTCACCAGGTGTCCCACCAAGATTCGAATGCCTCGTGCCATGTGTTATGATGATCCTCGGCATTGCTTCAACTGCACAAGATACAAGGTGTAGCCAGCAACACAACGGGTTGTGGCATCACAAGGTAAGACTCAAGGGCAGGAAGAGCGAGAGCGAGAGTGATGGAACCAGGCCCCAACAGCAGAACAGCTCACACTAGCCTCACCTCCTCTGCAGCAGCACAGCAGTCACTCTCAACCCAACCACCCATCTCACTCTTCCCGTTCTAACTTGCGCTCCTAGCCTCACCTCATCTGGGCTGAATTGCAGTATCATGCCGATCACAGGAATGAGCGTTGCCCTCTGGTCTGATGGTGGGGCAGAGAGGGAGACAGGGAGCAGAATAAAGAGCTGGTGAGGTGGAACGAGAAGTAGATGGTTCCTTGTGAAATGAACGAGCAAGTAAACAGAGCAAAGATGGATGGGGTGGTATAGGGTGGGATGGCTGATGGTGGGGCAGAGAGGGAGACAGGGAGCAGAATAAAGAGCTGGTGAGGTGGAACGAGAAGTAGATGGTTCCTTGTGAAATGAACGAGCAAGTAAACAGAGCAAAGATGGATGGGGTGGTATAGGGTGGGATGGCCTGGAAAGAGAATCAGACATGCAAAACAATACCTGTTTTGATAAGCACTAGTACCTGTTTCAACGAGCATTGGTACCTGTTCTGATAAGCAACGTTACCTGCTCTGATAAGCAATGGTACCTGTTCTGATAAGCACTGGTACCTGTTCTGATAAGCAGCTGCAGAATCACGTTCTTCAGGTAAGTCATGTCCACCGTCTCTCTCTTCTGCGCCCTCTCCATGTTCCTAAGCTCCTCCTTCAAGACGGATTCCTGTGGTTGAGGAAAGGGAGGAGGAAGGGAGAGGGGAAATTGGGAGCGGGAGGGGTGTTGCTTTTGAATGATCTCTTCTGTACCCTTTCCATGCTCCTCAGCTCCTCCCTCAACACCGATTCCTGGAAGATTGGAAAGAGGGGATGGAGCGAGGGTAAAATAACACATTCTCTCTCTAGTGTGCCCTCTCCTCTCCATGCTCCTCATCTCCTGCTCCTCCCTCAACACTGATTTCTGCAAGAAAGGAAAGAGAGGCAGGAGGAAGCAGGGCGAAGGAAAGAGAGGATGGAGGCTTTGAATGCAGTCATCTCAACGGAAAATGTATGCAGCTATTCATCCATACCAATGTCGCTTATTTAGCAAACGAGAAGAGGCAATGGAGTAATTTGAGCAAAACAAAAGCACACCTGACAGAACACCCACCTGATAGCAACAGAAAAAAACCACCTGAACGCAACAGAGCACCCACCTGAATGCAAGAGCACTCACCTGAATGCAACAGGGCACCCACCTGCTTGGCTCTCAGTTGATTCTCCCTCTGCAGGTCTGTGATCTCCTCCTGGTGGTTGGTGGCAAGGGAAAACATTAACATGCATGAAATAATTGTGAGTAATACACCATGTATGTATGTATGTATGTATGTATGTATGTATGTATGTATGTATGTATGTATGTATGTATGTATGTATGTATGTATGTATGTATGTATGTATGTATGTATGCATACATGAATGTATGCATGCTAGCATGCATGTACGTATGTACGCATGTGTTTTATGTATGTAAGTAAGTTCATAACGTGCATATGCAATATACGTTTATGTATATTCTTCATACCTGCAGTGCCTGAATGTGCCTTCTACACTGTGCTACCTCCTCCTCCCTCTGCGCCTGCTGCCGAGCAAGGAACTGTATGAAAGGACCGGGGAGGGGTGCAAGGAGGTAGAGGGTTACTAACAGAGCTCAGGAAAAAAGGAATCAGAGAGCTTCTTCTCCCGCTGCGCCTGAATGTGCCTTCTACACTGTGTTACCTCCTCCTCCCTCTGCGGCTGCTGCCGCGCAAGGAACTGGATGAAAGGAGGCGGTAGAAAGGGATTGGAAGGAGAACCAAGGGGCAGATGCTTAGAAACGAAGCACAGAAACGGGAATCAGAAAAACGTTCCCCTCCTCCGTCACGTGCAATACATCAGAGATCAAAAGCTGTGGTGGGTTCTCATAACCATAGATTGTTTTCGGAAATGGAAACAGTGCAGAGGGAACAGAGGCAGCAGAGGCAAAAGAGGCAGCAGAAGGAAGCAGAAGCATGAGGGGCAGAAGAGGCAAGGGGCCGACGTACCAGGATGTGTTGCTCTGCAATTGCAGCCTTCTCTGCTGGGTTGTCGGCCAACCCCATACCCTCTGGTGGACGCATTTATGGCATGGCATGGTAGGGAAAACCGGGGATGGTGTTGAAGATAAGACAGGCCATGCCATATGAGACATGGAAGCAGACAGACACACATGGAGGTTGACTGGTTTTCAGAGCGATGAAAGAAGGCAGGTGCGAAACTAAGGAGGCAAACAGAGGTGACAGTTAAAGGAGGTGAGGAAGGGTGATGGATAGAAGAGGTAAAACGGCGTGACAAATACAGGGAACTGAGAAAGGACAAATAGAGGGAATTTGACTTGGACAACAGAAAGGAGAGAGGCAACGCACCGAGGGAGAGAGGCAGTCCGGATGCGCCTGATTTGCCGAAACCCGGGTCTGACATTCGAGAACGGGGCTGCTTGAATGAGAATTGGGAGGGGAGGAGGGGTGGTGGGGTCAATAAATAGATAGGGGGGAGGGCATTGGGGACAGGGGATTGGTGGAACCTTATTTCAATCCAAATTCAAGAGAAAGGTGCAATGGAGTGGAGAAGGTGGAGTGGAGTGGAGTGGAGTGGAGTGGAGTGAAAGGGAGTGGAGTGAAAAGGATTGGAGTGGAGTGGAGTGGAGTGGAGTGGAGTGGAGTGGAGTGGAGTGGAAAAACGTGGAAGGGAGTGCAGTGCGATTCAGTGGACTCACCGAGATGAGCGCTGGCTTCCTGGGGCTGGCCGCTCCATCCATCCCAGCAGCACCCAGTCCCGCAAGCTTCAACCCATCCTCCCCACCAGCAGCATTGACAGCACCAATACCCTCACCACCAACACCACCAACACCACCAGCACCACCACCACCACCACCACCACCAGCACCACCAGCACCAGCGCCACCACCAGCAGCACCAGACTGGGCGGCAATCAGAGCCTCCTGCAGGCGTGCCGCTTCAGCAGAGAGCCGCGCAATCGCCTTGTCCTTCCCCTCGATCGCCTTGTCCTTGGCCTCGATGGTTCGATCCGCCATCTCTCGGTACGCTGCGTGCTCCCTCTCCCCCGCCTCCACTCTCCTCCTCAGTTCACTTTCTAGGGAGGCTGTCTGGCTGTCCGTCTGCCCCTTTAGCTTCTCCTCCTGCTGCCGCAGCTTCTCTGCTCAGAAGAATGCAAGGTAGGGAGGGAAAAGAGGGTAAAGAGGGGAAATTGAGAGGCCAGGCTATGAGAACCACGTAACAAATGCCTTATCCTTCCCCTCGATTGCCTTGTCCTTCCCCTCCATCGCCTTGTCCTTGGCCTCGATGGTTCTATCCGCCATCTCTCGGTACGCTGCGTGCTCCCTCTCCCCCGCCTCCACTCTCCTCCTCAGTTCACTCTCTAAGGATGTCGTCTGACTGCCCGTCTGCCCTTTCAGCTTCTCCTCCTGCTGCCGCAGCTTCTCTGCTCGGGGGAGGGAGAGAGGATGAGGGAGATTGGATTAGGGGCGCTATCAGCCCAGTTGTCCCCATCACACGCTCATGCATCTATTGCTTAACAGTCACTGAATTCCTCCCCACTCCTCTCAACTCTCCTCGCCACCCAGCTTCCAGGTCCATCATCCGCCCATGCATCTCCTTGTGCTCTGCTCTGCAATACTACCCTATTCTGCTATCCCCTTAATATCAACTCACCGCGCCACCCGTCCTCCAGGTCCATCATCCGCCCGTGCATCTCCTCCTGTGCCGCCCGGCTCTGCTGCCTCACCGCCTCCAGCCTGCCCGTCAGCTCCCGTATCTTCGTTTCCGCTTCCATCAATGCCACGTTTCTGTGTAATACGGGTGAAGGGGAGGGAGGTGGTGGGAAGATTGGGGGGGGGGTATGGGGGGTCAGTGGCACTGCTTATGTGACCGCTCTGCTGCCTCACCACCTCCAGCCTGCCTGTCAGCTCTCGGATTTTCGATTCCGCTTCCATCAGAGACACGTTATAAGGAACGGAAATAAGAAACGGAGTACAGCTGCCAGAGCCCCGACCTTGCGAAAAAACCGCTTAGAAAAAGTACTGTGAAAAACTGGATTCGAAACTTTGAAAATGAGACTGCTAGGCTTCGGATTTGTACATGAGTCGAGCCGAGGAGACAAGCAACCTCCGTACAAATCCGAAGCCTAACAGTCTCATTTTCACAATCTCAAATCCAGTTTCTTACAATTCACTATTTCTAAGCGGTTTTCCAGCAAGGTCGGGGCTCTAGTAGCTACATTCCGTTCCATGGTTCCTGCGGCTGTATTCCGCGGAAATCCGTTAGGAATAGTGAGAATTCTCAAAAAACAGATTCAGCCACGTTTCTGCCTGATAAGGTTGCAAGGGAAGAGAAGGGAGGGAGGCTAGGAAAGGGTTGATGCAAGGCCTCTGCTGCCCCACTGCCTCCAGCCTGCCTGTCAGCTCTCGCACTTTCGACTCCGCTTCCATCAATGCAACATTCCTGTTGACACAGGGGTAGGCGTGGGGACACTTTTGAGAAATTCTCAGAATGTGGGAGCACAGTGCAAGGGATAGCCGCATTAGCTGTGACAGCTTTTTTGAGGCGCCTCAAAAATCGTCTCAGTTCACGCGGTTTTTATATGAGGAATTCTCAGAATGTGGGAGCACAGTGCAAGGGATAGCCGCATTAGCTGTGACAGCTTTTTTGAGGCGCCTCAAAAATCGTCTCAGTTCACGCGGTTTTTATATGAGGAATTCTCAGAATGTGGGAGCACAGTGCAAGGGATAGCCGCATTAGCTGTGACAGCTTTTTTGAGGCGCCTCAAAAATCGTCTCAGTTCACGCGGTTTTTATATGGGGAATTCTCAGAATGTGGGAGCACAGTGCAAGGGATAGCCACATGAGCTGTGACAGCAGCGCTGTGCTACCACTCTGCCTTGCACCCGTCACACCAATCCAAACCATCATGTTCCATTCCAACCAATCCCACCCCACCCCACCCCACCCCACCTCACCCCACCCCATCCCATGCCATGCCATGCCATGCCATCCCATCCCATGTCATCCCATCCCATCCCATCCCATCCCATCCCATCCCATCCCATCCCATCCCATCCCATCCCATCCCATCCCATCCCATCCCATCCCATCCCATCCCATCCCATCCACACATGCACAGCACCTTTCTCTCACACGACCCACTGGCACCACATGGATTGTGCCTTGTTTGTGTGCGCTTCACTCACCGCACTGCCATCTGCGTCTCCTGGTCCACTGCAGCATCCTCCAGCACCTTGAGTGCTCCATCCCTCTCCAACCATTACCACTACTACCATGTATGTACACACATGCACACCGCATTAGACCCATCTCCACCGCAACTCACCGAGCTGCCATCTGCGTCTCATGGTCCACTGCAGCATCCTCCAAAGCCTTGAGAGCTCTGTCCCTCTCCGCCACTGCTGCTGCCTCTCCCCTCTTCGCCTCCTGGACGGCAGGTAGGAAGGCAGGTATGAAGGAACGGAGGAAAGGAGGGCAGGAGGTAAAGAGGAGGCGCGTGTTTTGATGCACCTCAAAAGTCAGGCATGAAGGGAGGGAGGGAAGGAAGGGTGGCAGGAGGTAAAAAGGGAGGCACGTGATGAGGGAGGGATCCATGAAATAAGCGTAGTCTGTCCCTCTCCCCGTTTTGAGTCGACTCAAAACACGGCTCATTTGAGACGTCTCAATAAGCGTAGTCCCTCTCCGCGTTTTGAGTCGACTCAAAACACGGCTCATTTGAGACGTCTCAATAAGCGTAGTCCCTCTCCGCGTTTTGAGTCGACTCAAAACACGGCTCATTTGAGACGTCTCAATAAGCGTAGTCCCTCTCCGCGTTTTGAGTCGACTCAAAACACGGCTCATTTGAGACGTCTCAATAAGCGTAGTCTGTCACTCTCTGCCACTGCTGCGGCCTCTGCCCTCTTTGCCTCCTGTCATGCGGCGAGAGAGGCAAGAACGTGGCACACTCACTCCCAAACTCACTCCTACACTTACTCCCACACTCACTCATGCACTCACTCCACACCTTAGTTTGGCGTTTTAACAGTTTTTGGGTCACGTAAACGTAATTTTACACTACCTTTACATGCACTTTTACGTTTCTGTGCGTAAATATGGCCGGGCATTTATAAACGTTTCAGGGCATGATGGGGGAATAAAGAGGGAAGAGAGTTGGGAAATTATTGGAGCTGATAAAAAATATCGTAATGACTGCTGGTGTTATTGCTAGTGGAGGCAGGAGAAATACCATGCCATGCTTGCTAGAGATTTTGACGAAAGCTGGTGTGCTAGCTAAAACCTAGAGAAATTTCGTCTTGACTGAAGTACGACGGAAGTTGGTTAGACGATTGTCAGAATTACGGACTCGAGAGGACAGAGGGGATCAGGAGGGGAAGGTGATGTGCGGAGGGATGATGAAGAGAAATTTGGGCGAAATCGATTTGGAATTCGAGGAGGAAGGAAGCGTTGCGCAAAATTCGTCTCGAGGGGGAAAGAAGCGTTGCGCGAAGTCAAATTCGAGGGGGGAGGTTCTGCAATTTGAAGCTGAAGGAGCTGGTACACTAATCGCCTTTGAGAGTTCTCAAAAGGAGCTGGTACATGACCTGGAATTGCAACAAGTATAAGAAATTGAAACTTAATGCGGATGCTTAGAACAATATTTGCAAATCCAAGAATGAACACGTTATGTTAGGGCAGCAGGAAAATTTATTTAGCCTGCTGCATGAACCCCTTTTAGAAGAAGCGTACGTAAATGTAGGCGTAAAGCCTACATAAGGCATAAATGTTAAACGTTGATAGACGTAAACATAAAACGTATGTAAACATAAAACGTACGCAAATGTAAACGTAACCGTTACATCCATCTAAGCTCCACACTCACTCCCACACTCACCTGGATCTCCTCCTCCTTGCTCGCCATGGCATCCACGTTCCCCACAGCCTCAAGCTCCTCCTGCTTCAACATGCTTATGTGGTGTGCATATTGCCGTCAAACAGCAGCACTCACACTTCATACTAGCTCCCTATGCCCAGCACGCTCACACTCACCTTGATCTCCTCCTCCTTGCTCGCCATGGCATCCACGTTCCCCACCGCCTCCACCTCCTCCTGCTTCTTCTTCAGCATCGCTGCCACCTGCTCTTCACCCCCACCCTCACCGCCTCCTCCAACATGCTTATGCCACCACACAGCAGCACTCACTCACCTTGATTTCATCCTCTTTGCTCGCCATGGCATCCGCGTTCCCCACCGCCTCCAGCTCCTCCTGCTTCTTCTTCAGCATCGCTGCCGCCCGCACCTTGTATGCCGCCAGCTCATTACGCCCCTTCGCCACCTGGCATGACGTGGCATGAGGTGGCGTGAGGTGGCATGAGGTATGGGACGGACTTAAGAAACGAGATGCTGCAAAAGATAGACACGGGAGGAAACGCCATGCTGTTGCATGGCATGGCATGGCATAGGCAGGCAGGTAGGCATGAGTATGGCATGAGCTGGGCGGGAATGGCATGAAAACGCATGGGCTGGGAGGGTATGGGAGAGTAAGATGCTCATTTACCTCCTGCATCTGATCCCCCGCCACAACACCCCCCCCCCGCCCTCCTCACCCCTTACCTGCCGCCACCCTTACTCACCTCTGCCTGTGCAGCAGCTAAATCCGCCAGGGCAGCAGCAACAGCCTTCTTCTGCCCCTCCACCTCCTGCTGCCACGCCCCCTTCGCCTCCTGCATCGCCACCTCCAGCATGCGCTTCCCCCTCTCCATCCCCTCAACCCGCCTCTTCAGCTGCCCCACCGTCTCCTCCCACCCGCTCCGCTCCTCCGCCAGCTTCTGCTCCAGCCGGTGCAGCTCGCCACGTGTCGCCTCCAGAGTGGCCGACAGCCGCGCCAGCTCGCCTGACGTGGCGGCCTCCACCTCTGCCAGCTGGCGCTCCTTCTGCGACAGCTGGACCTGCAAGGGTCGAAAAGAAAGTGAGTAAGTACAAAAACACGAGTAATCTATTCTGAATGACTTATGCTGGCGCTCCTTCTGCAACAGCTGGACTGGACCTGCCAAGGTGGGCAAAGGGGTGAGGTGTTGACACGGGGGAGGAAGAAGAGAGAGTCAGCCGAACCTCCACCTCGTTCACCCTTTGCAACACCTCATAACTCTCAAACCCGTTACACTGCTCAAACCCGTAACACAACCATCTCTCACCTGCAGCGCACTGCTGCTCTCCAGAGCCTTATTCAGCTCCCTCTGCAGCTCAGCTGCCCGTGCCTCCTGCAGCCTTCATTCCCTACAAGTGGTTACCCTGACCCGTGACACGTCCACATTCGACATTCCACACTCTCACCTGCAGCGCACTGCTGCTCTCCAGAGCCTTATTCAACTCTCGCTGCAGCTCAGCCGCGCGCGCCTCCTGCTCCTTCCCCATCCGCTCCATCCGCTCCTCCACCTCCTTCACAGCCCCCGCCATGCGCTCCCGCTCCTCCTGCGCTGAGCTCGACAGCTCCAGCCACGCCTGCTCCTTGCCCGCTGCCAATCGCCTTGACTCTTTGAGGTTGTGCTCCTTCAGCTCTAGGGCTCGCCTCAACTCGTCCACCTCTTCTTTCAACCTGGGTCAGGGAGAGGAGAAAGGGGAAAATATCTTAAGAAACACCACATGGTTCAGCTCCCCGCTCCTCGTGCGCTGAGCTCGACAGCTCCAGCCACGCCTGCTCCTTGCCCACTGCCAGCCTGCGCGACTCCTTCAGATTATGCTCCTTTAGTTCCAAGGCCCGCCTCAGCTCGTCCACTTCTTCTTTAAGCCCGGGGAAGGGAGAGCAGGGTTCAGGGTTTAAAGTTCAAGATTCGGCGCTCCTCGTGCGCTGAGCTCAACAGCTCCAGCCACGCCTGCTCCTTGCCCGCTGCCAGCCTCCGTGACTCCTTCAGATTGTGCTCCTTCAGCTCTAGGGCCCGCCTCAGCTCGTCCACCTCCTCTTTAAGCCTGCAGTAGGGGGTGGGGTTTCGGGTTTCAGGGTCAGGTGGGAGAGAGCAGCTCCAGCCACGCCTGCTCCTTGCCCGCTGCCAGCCTCCGTGACTCCTTCAGGTTATGCTCCTTCAGCTCTAGGGCCCGCCTCAGCTCGTCCACCTCCTCTTTAAGCCTGCAGTAGGGGGTGGGGTTTCGGGTTGAAGGGTCAGGTGGGAGAGAGCAGCTCCAGCCACGCCTGCTCCTTGCCCGCTGCCAGCCTCCGTGACTCCTTCAGATTACGCTCCTTCAGCTCTAGGGCTCGCCTCAGTTCGTCCACCTCCTCCTTCAGCTTGGGGAAGGATCGGGGTTTCGGGTTTAAGGTTAATATAATGGGTGGGAGAGGACAGCTCGACAGCTCCAGCCACGCCTGCTCCTTGCCTGCTGCCAGCCTCTTCGACTCCTTCAGGTTGTGCTCCTTCAGCTCTAAGGCTCGTCTGAGCTCGTCCTCCTCCTCTTAAAGCCTGGGGAAGGGATCAGGGTTTCGGGTTTAAGGTTTAAAAGATGGGTGGGACAGGACAGCTCGACAGCTCCAGCCACGCCTGCTCCTTGCCTGCTGCCAGCCTCCTCGACTCCTTCAGATCATGCTCCTTCAATTCCAGGGCTCGCCTCAGCTCGTCCACCTCCTCCTTCAGCCTGGATTCACGGTGTGGGGTTAGGAAAGGAAGACCGGAACCTAGAGGCATCAATCTCGCCTGGAAACGAGAAGAGAGCATAGAGTACAGAAAGTGAGTTCTCTCCAATCAATTAAAGAACTAGAGGGTAGAGATACTCACGATCCGTTCCTCAGCTGCTCCTTGTCCTTCTCAGCCGTCCGCTGCGCCTCTGCAGCCCCTGAGATTACTAAAAAGGACCAGAGAAACCCTTCCAGCCACATGGAATGGAGAGCAGCAGAGAAGGGGTACTCACGATCCGTTGGTCTTCCTCAGCTGCTCCTTGTCCTTCTCAGCCGTCCGCTGCGCCTCTGCAGCCCCTGAGATTACTAAAAAGGACCAGAGAAACCCTTCCAGCCACATGGAATGGAGAGCAGCAGAGAAGGGGTACTCACGATCCGTTGGTCTTCCTCAGCTGCTCCTTGTCCTTCTCGGCCGTCCGCTGTGCCTCTGCAGCCCCTGAGATTACTAAAAAGGACCAGAGAAACCCTTCCAGCCACATGGAATGGAGAGCAGCAGAGAAGGGGTACTCACGATCCGTTGGTCTTCCTCAGCTGCTCCTTGTCCTTCTCAGCCGTCCGCTGCGCCTCTGCAGCCACCCCCTTGGCTCTTTCCAGATCTTCCTGCAGCGCTGCCTGCTGCTTCCTCTCCTCTGCCAGCTTCCTCTCTGCCTCCTCCTTCTCCTGCAGGGGGGAGGGGAGATGAGCAAAGAGAAAAGGTTGAGATCCTCCTGCAGCGCTGCCTGCTGCTTCCTCTCCTCTGCCAGTTTCCTCTCCTCTTTCTCCTGTAAGGGGGTGGGAGAACGGGGTGAGTGGAGAACAGTGATTGATTCATACCGTGATGTTTCATGCCTGCCCATGCATATCATACCTTGGTGACTTCCTGGATCCCCTGCTTGACGCGCTTCAGCAGGCGGTTGAAATTGCCGTCAACCTCTGCGTACTTGTCCCTCCTCCTTAGACTGAGTGCCTGCCTGGATACGTCTTTTGAGGCGCCTCAAAAGACTGAGTGCCTGGATACGTCTTTTGAGGCGCCTCAAAAGACTGAGTGCCTGCCTGGATACGTCTTTTGAGGCGCCTCAAAAGACTGAGTGCCTGGATACGTCTTTTGAGGCGCCTCAAAAGACTGAGTGCCTGGATACGTCTTTTGAGGCGCCTCAAAAGACTGAGTGCCTGGATACGTCTTTTGAGGCGCCTCAAAAGACTGAGTGCCTGGATACGTCTTTTGAGGCGCCTCAAAAGACTGAGTGCCTGGATACGTCTTTTGAGGCGCCTCAAAAGACTGAGTGCCTGGATACGTCTTTTGAGGCGCCTCAAAAGACTGAGTGCCTGGATACGTCTTTTGAGGCGCCTCAAAAGACTGAGTGCCTGGATACGTCTTTTGAGGCGCCTCAAAAGACTGAGTGCCTGGATACGTCTTTTGAGGCGCCTCAAAAGACTGAGTGCCTGGATACGTCTTTTGAGGCGCCTCAAAAGACTGAGTGCCTGGATACGTCTTTTGAGGCGCCTCAAAAGACTGAGTGCCTGGATACGTCTTTTGAGGCGCCTCAAAAGACTGAGTGCCTGGATACGTCTTTTGAGGCGCCTCAAAAGACTGAGTGCCTGGATACGTCTTTTGAGGCGCCTCAAAAGACTGAGTGCCTGGATACGTCTTTTGAGGCGCCTCAAAAGACTGAGTGCCTGGATACGTCTTTTGAGGCGCCTCAAAAGACTGAGTGCCTGGATACGTCTTTTGAGGCGCCTCAAAAGACTGAGTGCCTGGATACGTCTTTTGAGGCGCCTCAAAAGACTGAGTGCCTGGATACGTCTTTTGAGGCGCCTCAAAAGACTGAGTGCCTGGATACGTCTTTTGAGGCGCCTCAAAAGACTGAGTGCCTGGATACGTCTTTTGAGGCGCCTCAAAAGACTGAGTGCCTGGATACGTCTTTTGAGGCGCCTCAAAAGACTGAGTGCCTGGATACGTCTTTTGAGGCGCCTCAAAAGACTGAGTGCCTGGATACGTCTTTTGAGGCGCCTCAAAAGACTGAGTGCCTGGATACGTCTTTTGAGGCGCCTCAAAAGACTGAGTGCCTGGATACGTCTTTTGAGGCGCCTCAAAAGACTGAGTGCCTGGATCACTTTATACCCTGCCTGATGATGATTCACACTGCGATAGTTCATACCTGGGAGCGCATATCATACCTTGGTGACTTCCTCGATCCTCTGCTTTACGCACTTCTGCAGGCGGTTGAAATTGCTGCAGGCCAGCTCACCATACTTGTCCTTCCTATACCAAGTACGTAAATGGTTATTCCATGCCCTAGTGGTGATTCAAATCAAACCTTGATGAACATCCTTGATGCCCCGGTTGAACTTGCTGTCCAGCTCACCGTACTTGTCGCTTTGCAGCCTCATTTTCTGTGAGATTCCACACCATGATGGTTCATACCTTGGTGACCTCTTGAATTCGCTGCTTGGCGCGCTTCTGCAGGCGGTTGAACTTGCTGTCCAGCTCAGCGTACTTGTCCTTTTCACTTTACCCAGTATATTACATGAGCTGCTGGTGCATACCTTGGTGACCTCTTGGATCCTTTGCTTTGCCCTCTTCTGCAGGCGATTGAATTTGCTGTCCAGCTCTGCGTATTTGTCCTCCGCTGCCTTCACCTCCGACTCCAGCTTGCTGCGCACTGCACCACACCATATTGCACCAATACGCACCACACAGCACCGCACGGAACGGCACACCAAAGACCACCCCACCATGAGAATCGAGTCAAGAGGAGGAAGTACTAGTTCCTAATACAGCAATATAAAATAGGTGGAACGAGGGCAGCAAAAACTAGTTGCGAACCAAACACCCTAAAAAACGAGGAGGCAGAGCAAAGTACGAACCAGCAAGATACTGACGACAATGTTCCTACCTGTCGCTAGCTCGCTCTCTGCTGACTCAGCCTTCCCCATCGCCTCCCCTGCAGCACCCGCCACCCTGGCAGCCACCTCCTCCGCCGCCACACGTGCCGCAGCAGCCTGCGCCAGCTCACCCGACACACGCGCCAGCTCAGCGTTCGCCGTTGCCAGCTCAGCATTCACCTTCGCCAGCTCCTCAGCCTGCGCACCGCCCGACATCGTCAGCTGCTCTCTCCCCCTCTCCGCCTCCTCTCTCATCCTCCCTGCCTCTAGCTCTGCCGCTTCTACCCTTGCTCTCACCCCTTCCAGTTCAGCAGTCAACTCAACTACTCTCTTCTCTCCATCCGCCCTCTCTGCACCCTCCTTCTCACTCTTCTCCCTCATCCCCTGCAACTCAGCTTCTAACTGCGCCTGTGCTTGCTCGCTCCTCCTCCCCGCCTCCCTCGCCTTCCCCAACGCCTCCTCCAACTCCTCTTCCAACCGCTCCTTCTCCCTCTTCACCACCTTCAACGCCTCTTCCAGCTCTGCCACTCGCGCCTCTCCTGCCACTGCCCCTGCCGCCGCTGCACCTGCCGCCTCTGCCCCTGCTGCTGCTGCTTCAGCCTTATCAGCAGCCAAATCCGCTTCTGCTGCTTCCAGTTTCTTCTTCAACTCAGCCTCCCGCCCCTCCCACTCTCCCTCCTTCTCCTCCATCTCCTTCACCCTCTCCTCTGCTGCCTTAAGCGCGCCTCTCGCCTTCTCCACTTCACCCACACCCTTTTCCACCTCCCCTTTCGCCTTCTCTGCCTCCTCTTTCACCCTCTCGAGTTCCCCTTTAACGCTCTCCGCCTCCCCTTTTGCTTTCTCTGCTTCCCCTTTCACCCTCTTCAACTCCTGGTTACCGCTCTCCACCTCCGCTTTCGCCTTCTCCAGCTCCCCTTGAAGCTCCGCCACCCGGCCCTCTAACGCCTTCCTGTCTTCGCCCATCCTAGCAGCCTCCACCTCTCCTGATCCCTTCTCCGATACTGCCTGCTTTACCTTCTCCTTAAGCCCCCGAATCTCCTCCTCCTTAGTCCTTATTTCCTCCTCCTTGGCTTTAATATCCGCCTCCTTCGCCTCTACTAGCGCATCCATCTCCTTCTTTAGCTCCTCCGCCTCGTTCCTTACCTTCTCACCCTCCTCCTTCGCCTCCTCAGCTGCTTTCAATGCAACCTCCAACTCCCCCCTCAGCCCAGCCACCTCCCCCTCCTTCGCAGTAACTTCCTCCCCCAACTCCTTCACCCTCCCTTCCACCTCCACTAATCGCCCCCTCACTCCCTCCAGCTCCCCCCTCACAGCCTCCCCTTCCTTCTCCTTCTCCTCAACCACCTTCTCCAACCCCTCCACTCGTTTTTTTCAGTCCTTCCGCCTCTTTCTCACTCCCGTCAGCCCTATCCGTCTCTGCTGCAACCTGCTTTCGCGAGTCTAGAAGCTGCTGCCACAGCTCCCCAGCTTGCTGCTGCTCCTTCCCGGCACTTTCCTGGAAAGAGTCCAAAGCCGCTCGAGCCTCCTCTGCTTCTCTCTGCGCAGCCTCTCTCGAATGAATCTCCTTTTCCAGCGAGGATTTGGCCGATGCCAGCTCAGCCTGCGCGGCTGCCAGCTCAGATTGTATCGCTGCCAGCTGGTCTTTGAGGGAATCTGACTTGGCGGCGAGATCTGCCAGCTCTTTCTGCATGCTCTGGTTTGGGTGACAGGGGATGATGAAAGAAAGAGCATTTCAAATGAGGTATTTTCGAAGAAACGTTAGTATTCAAATGTGAGTAAGTTTGGAGCGTAGGCATGTGATGAAAGCTGAGCAGCTGGGGTAGGTTCTATAACGAGAACATTTAGACAGCAAGAGGAATGGGGGAAGAAGTTTAAGGGGAGAAGCAATGCAAGTAAGAACAACAGGTAGGAAGAAGCGTCTGGGGACTTGGAAAAGGGACCGCGAGGTGGGGCATGTCTTGATGCTCACACTTCACGTACCTCCTCTGTCTCTGAAGCAGCCTTCTGCACATGATCCATGGCCCCTCGCATGCCTTTGAGCTGGGACGTAAGACTGCAACAGCAAGGACAGGCACCACACAAAAAATGGGAGAGAACGAGAGACAAATGTTACAAGCAGATAAAAAAAGAAGCATCCATCTTGGCTTAAAAAAAGAACATCATACGTTACTCGTGCGTTCATTCATGTAACCCACCTGGCGGCTTCCTTCTTCGCTTCCGCCAGCTGCGCCTGAAGCGCCGCCTCTGCTTCTGCTGCCGCCGCCGCTGCTTTAGCTGCTGCCGCCTTCGCCTCTTCCACCTGGCCTGTCAGCGAAGCCTGCGCCTGAAGCAACTCCTCTGCCTGCGCGCCCTTGTTCGTCGCCTCACATCGCACCTTCCCCAGTTCCTCTCGCGCTTCAGCTTCCGCCGCCTTGGCTTGCTCAAGCTCCCCCTGAAGAGCCGCCTGAGCCTGAAGCAACTCCTCTACTTGCGCGCCCTTGTTCGTCGCCTCACATCGCACCTTCCCCAGTTCTTCCTGCGCCTCTGCTTCCGCTGCCTTGGCCTTCTCAACCTCCCCCTGAAGCGCCGCCTGCGCCTGAAGCAGCTCCTCCACCTGCGCGCCCTTATTCGTCGCCTCACACTGAGCCTTTCCAGCCTCCTCCTTCGCCTGTTCCAGCTCCGATTTGACTTCCCCCAACTCCTTCCTGGAACTTTCAACTTGAGCACGCAGATCTTCCAGCGAAGCTTCCTTGCCGTGTCTCAGACCCTCGAGCTCATCCCTTAGCGCTTTAATCTCCGCTTCCATCTTCTCCTTATCCACTCTCAGCCCTTCCTTCTCCTTCTCCACCGCAGGAAGCTTCCCCTGCAAGTCCGCCACCAGCGCCTGCAGCTTGCTCCCATCTTCCTTCGAAGCTTCCAGTTCCACCTGAATTGCTTTCAGCTGCCCGGCCAACTTTTCGCCGTATGCCCGAGACTCCTCCAGCTCTCTCCGCGCAGCAGTTAACGCCTCCATCGCCTTTTCCCGCTCCGCCTGCGCGGCTTTCAGCTGTTGCTCCGCGCGCGCCACCACCTCCTGCGCGCGCCGCTGATCCGCCTGATCGCTCCGCTTCTCCGCCTCCGCCGCCTTCACCCGCTCCCCCAGCGCCTGCTGCGCAGCCGCGCGCCCTTCCTGCGCTTCCCGCGCCTCCCCCTGCGCCTTCCGCAGCTGCTCCTGCAGACCGCTAAGCTCCTCCTGAGTGGTCATCAGTGCGCCTTGTGCGGCCGTCCATTGCTCGCGAACCATCTGGACCTCCTCTTTCGTCGCGCGAAGGCTCTTCTGAGCCGCATTCGCGTCCTCCATGGCTTTCTTTCTCTCCTCTTCCGCTGATCTGGCCTGGTCTTCCGCAGCCTTGAGCTTTTCGCTCGCAACCACGTACTCTTCCCTGAGCATTTTCAGTTCCTGCTGAGACGCATTCAGTTGGTCCTGAAGCTGCTGCAGCGCGGCCGGATCCGCTCCTTTAGACGCATCTCCGTTAGAAGCTCCTGATTCCGCGGCTTCAGCTCGCTTTAGAGCCTCGTCCCGCGCTCGTTCGGCCTCTTGGACTTTAGATTGAAGCTCCGCCTGCTGCTTTTTGAGAGCTAGAACGATCTTCTTCTTCATGGATTGCATCTCCGCTTGAAGGCGGGTGTTTTCCGCCTTTAGTTCCTCCGCGGACGCCATTAAGGATCTATCGGCAATAAAAGGAAAGACCTAAAATTGTGCTTTGAACCTTAGAGATTGTAACTAGAAACGGTCGATTCCTCTCCTAATGCAATCTCCTGTTTGGGGACTGGCGACGCTTGATTAACAACTATTGGAAGAAGGAAAACCAGCGAGTTAGTTTGGCATCCCCCATGAGAAATATATCTCCAGCGAGGCCACGACTACCAGCAGAGATCTTCTCTGCTGCTCGCATAATGCTCAGGAGCCATGGCTTCAGGCCAGACCCTGCCTGCAGGAGGAATGGAGTAGTCTGGACTGGAAGAGGGAACCAGATTGAAGTACAAAGCATTTTGGGATCTCTGGGTGTCAGAACGGGTTGCAATACGGTTTTCACAGTGCTTAGGAGTTTTCAGAACAGCACGTTTCGGTGCCAAAGTGTCAAAACGTTTTCATGTTCTTCCGCTCAACCAACCATGTAAGCTGCGGCAAAAGGGTCCTCGATCGTTGCCACTCTAGACCGTAACACATCCATTTTAAACGTGGTTAAACCGAGAATCAAGGATATTGGATGTTGTTCCCCGTCACACCGACCTTCTGGGGAGTCGTCCTCTTCAGTCATACGTGCTACCGTTTTCGAGGAACTCTAGGTATGGAGCGCCCGAGGCAACACTAGCCGCACATCTTCGGCTGCTGAAGCAACAAACGATCTTAACCGTCGAAATAAGCTATCTGGGGTGTTCGCCTGACCAGTTTCGAGCCTCGCTGTTCTTCTCTGTTTGGAGTGTCAGGGAGGCGGTGATTGGCTGATACTGCACTACAAACTATTTCGCGGTTTTTTTTTACGTTGATCATAACGGGTCAATCTGGTGCATGAGAGCAGACACTGTAAACTAAAACCATCCCCCTTTGGTGCACTGTACTATTATTTACCTTACAGAACAGAGGGGATGTTGTTAGAGGGGTGTTTCACTCACTTCCACAGTTCCAACCACAGTCCAAGCCGCAAGCAGATGGTTTGGAGATGGGAGTCTCTTGATACAGATTCACCCGCCGCCTTGTCCCTGCACTGCGTCAGGGCTGGCGGGGACGTTGGGATTGGGTTTCCTGGATGACATTCGCGGTTCGGACCGTCAAGATTGGAGGATTTCGCTCACTCAAAGGTGGACACGTCAGCGCAGCTAAGCACCCCAAACCAAGGGAACATCCATCTCGAGTTGTGCACCATTCAGCTGTTCATCCTCTTTTCCCCCCTCCTTTCATGTCATCCTTTTCGCCGGCCTATCAGGAATGGCAGAAAGGAAAGAATTTGTCCTGCTGTTTTGCATTGCATCCCATGATCCACTGTTCTCATTCATGCTTCATTCATGCGTGTAGGCAAGACACAAGAAAGCCTTGATGCGTGTCTGCACCTCAGCCGCTATCTTCGCTGGGGGTTATCAATAAGACGTCACTCATTGATGCGCATTCTAAGCGTTCACCTTTCGTTACTCCCACTCCGCATCAGCTTCCAGAATGCTCGTGTACGGAGTTGTTTTGTCCGTGAGATGTGCTACTTCTCGTCAAAGGCACTTAAAGTATCTGATAGTAACTTAAGAGTTTAATAGAACCTGCTTTCGAGCCGCCTGCCCTTTAATCCACTCTTCTGCTCCCACACGATTCGCATCGCATCGCTTGTAGCCGCTCGCTTAGACTATTTTCGCGTTTTCGAGGCGTTCAATGCGGCCGCTCCCGTCTTCGCTCCCAGCGACGGTAACTTATTTTCCATTCAGCAATCCGGCCGCATAATACTATATCAGGCGCCTGTGACGTGTGCCTTCACGCTCTACAACACAGCCGCGAGGCACTGGAAGCTTCGCTTGGGGGAATAGACATTGTTTTAGACCAGGCTTTTTTGGAGACTTCTCAACGATTTTCTCGGCAGAGCGTGGCTCCAAGGCACGGGAAACTTCGTTTGGAGGAGCAGTTAGTCGGCCTAACCGAGCTGGCTGCTTTCTTTCCGTTATCTCCGTGGGAAGCGCTGAAAGCTCCATTAGACTTGATTGAAGGACAATGGTTGCAATCAATGGGGCCGACTCCCCTTCGCCTTCCCCCGACGCCACCGTGCTGCAAGTGTCAGTGGTTCAGGGACGGCACTTGCAGCTTGCAGGCGGCGTCCAGGACAAAGGCGGAGCCACGGTGTCGCTCTCTCAGGGAAAGAACCAGGTACTCCTCCTCTTCCCAATAATTGAGCTTTGTTCCCTGCTCCATGTAGGTCACATGGCAGTTCTCAGTACCCAACATTGCCCGTCTCAGTCACAACCTTAAAGATAAAAAGACGATAAGAATGCATGTGACAACATGATGGAAATTCACGCCAACCATGTTTGCATGCACCAGTTATACATTGCGCGACGTTTATCTATTTGTACCATAGGATACTAAACTTCATACGACCACTGCTGTGCCTTTACGAAGGCGTGGCGATTCCTCTCGCGTCCTTCTTTTGAGGCGGCTCGCACACAGATTGCTCACGCGTCCCGCCAAAGTGAATACGATGATGCGAACCCACGTGATTTGCTCGAAGTGATGTTCGAGTCCACTCGAAAGTCACGACGGCGTGGCAAACGTTACATTTCTCTCGCATCCTTTTGATGTAGTGCAATGATGCATTCACATGCTTGGCTCGGCGTGCTCGAGAGTCGAGATATGGCTCTCCCTTCTAATCCGCACAATTGGCGCAGGTGAAGACAGCGGCGAAGACGGGTGTGACCCCCGAGTGGCTTCAGTGTGAACATAAGAACATGCATAACGAATCTCAACCTTCCTGATCTAATCCGCACAATTGGCGCAGGTGAAGACAGTGGCGAAGACGGGAGCGGCGCCCAAGTGGCTTCAGGACTTTAAGATTCCTCTGGACTACTCGCCCGGTGCCTCCCTGCCGCAGCCAGGCGACGTCATTCTGCAGGTCAGTTTCGTTCTCAAGCCTCGTATCTCAACCTTGATATTTGAGACGTCTAAAACAACAGGACTGTAGTATCCATCTGGACTAATCGTCTGCTGCTTCCCTGCCACGGCCAGGCGACGTCATTCTCCAGGTCAGTTCCGTTCTCAGGTCTCATATCTCAGCCATAATGATACATCTCAACTTTGTGTCGACTGCCTCATTCTGATTTCTGCGTCAACTGAAAATTCAACGTCAACCTTGTGTTATGTGTCTGGATTGTAAACTGGGAAAGGGTGATTCTGGGTTTAGCTCGTGAGACGGTTAGGCCAACTTGGCTGTCTTATCATTCTGTCATGAATGTCGCCAAAGAATTGTAAAATACTTAGGGGCTTATGGTGCGACTGGTTCACCTGTCACAGTGGTGCCAACTGCGGTACAGTTAAGCAGCAATCAGGTCTCTCCCTCTCCCTCTCCCTCTCTCCGCCCTGCTCTCACACATTTCGCAGTTGGCTCACCTGACACAGGCGACGAGGTGCTGGTCAGGCGTGGTTTGAGCCGCTTCTCTGCTCCCCTCTCCCGCTCCTCTTGCTCCCGACCCGAGGCAGGCGTGGTTTGAGCCTCTTCAGAAACCAAGCTTCTCTATTGGCAATTAGAAGAACAAGCTTTCTGTAGCTTCTTGCTTTCCCCTTCTCTCTCACACAGATCGCAGTTGGCTCACCTGACACGGGAGACGGTGCTGGCAAGGTGTGATTTGAGCCGCTTCGCACACCTAGCTTCTCTGCTGGCATTTCAAAAGCAAGCTTCTCTGTTCCCCCTCTCTCTCCCTCCCTCTCGCTCTCCCTCCCTCCCACACACAGATAGGAATTGGCTCACCTGACACAGGCGACGAGGTGCTGGCCACGTGTGATTCGAGGCGCTTCAGAAACTAAGCTTCTCTGCTCCCCTCTCGCGCTCCTCTTGCTCTCCCGATCACACACACAGATAGCAATAAGCTCACCTGACACAGGCGACGAGGTGCTGGCCACGTGTGATGTCGACGTGGCAGATCAGCTGCAGGGCGGCACAGTGGTGCGCTGGTATCAAATCAAGGATAAGGACGACGCTGGGGTCGGCGAAGTTTGTCTTGTTCTGCGGGTTGCGAAGCCTGCCGCCTTGCGTACAGGTGGGTTAGGGCAAGGGTGCTATTGTCCTTTCTTTTGCTCCCGATTCTTGGACTGTTGGCACCTGCATAAACCTCCCTCCAATGCTCCCGATTGTTCCTGGCAGGTGGTGCTTCCCCCAGCCACCCTTAGAGCAGCGTTGCCAGTCAACTGAACAGACACCATTCTGCAGCGGTTGTTGCCCAAACCACCCAATCCACTCAAATACTCTCAACACTCCCAAACACCCCCCAACACCCCCTTACTCCCCACTAACCCTCCCTGGCAGGTGGTGCCTCCCCCAGCTACCCCAAGCAAGAGCAGCGTCGCCAGTCAACTGAACGGAGATCATTCTGCAGCAGCGGTCGTTGCCCAAACCACCCAATCCACTCAAATACTCTTAACACTCCCTAACACCCCCCAACACCCCCTTACTCCCCACTATCCCTCCCTGGCAGGTGGTGCTTCCCCCAGCCACCCCAAGAGCAGCGTCGCCAGTCAACTGAACAGAGACCATTCTGCAGCGGTCGTTGCCCAAACCACCCAATCCACCCAAACCATGCAAACCAGCAAAACCATTCAGACCAACCAGACCACCCAAACCACCGAAACCACCCAAACCAGTGCTGATGCTAACATCCCTGGTACTGCTGATGCCGCTGCTGCTCCCTCCGCCTTTGCGGCTGCTTTCGACGTCTTTGCAGCTCATGCCTCCACTGCTGCTTCAGATGATGGTGATGATACAGCTGCAGTTGCCACGGCTGCTGCTGACAGCGCCGATGATCCTGCTCCAGGAGCAGAAGACCCAGCAGGAACCAATTCTGAGCCTGTGCCTGAAGTCCAAATCCCAGCAGAAGCAGCACCAGCTGCTGCATCACCAGCTGCAACAGCAGCAGCAGACGCACCGCCAGCAGCAGCAGCAGGAGACATAGCAGCAGACACACCAGCAGCAGACGTACCAGCGGAGTCACCAGAGGATGCAGCACCAGCAGCTGCTGCTACAGGCGCGAGCACAGGCTCTTCATTACTGGGCCGGCTGGAGAGGCGCAGCAACGTCCAGATCAGCAGAGGGACCGGGCTGAGCACGTCTGAATCCAGCCCTGAGAGCAGCACAGACGAACCTGAGGGTGCAGCGTCTGTGTCTGATCCCAACTCGCCTCGTAGTGAGAGTTCCTCCCTAGCAGTGTCTGGTGAGGGTGGTACGGCTGTGGTGGGGCGGCTGGAGAGGCGCAGCCACATCCAGAGCGGGAGAGTCTCGGCGCAGAGCTCTGCTGAAGGCACAGGGGAATCCTCAGGGGATTCCTCAGGTGCTGTCGCAGCAGCAGGAGCAGACTCACCTGGTGCTGCTTCTGGGGATGGGTCACCGTCAACCTCCCAACAACATCAGTCCTCCTGGTCGGGAGCTTGGCGGTGGGGGGACCGGCAAAACAAGGGCAGCAGCTCAGACAAGGCAATGGGGTCCTCTGTGGGCTCTTTGTTCCAAGGCAGGGCGCGGAATAGCGCTGCCCGGCGCGCTGAAGAGGCTGCGAGTCCAAAGCCGCGCAGCAGGGGTGGCAGTGTGGATTTTCTGGGTAGTCTGGGCCTAACTGGAATCAGCTCGAGTGCGAGTTCTAGCAGTGGGAGGAGTCTTGGGGGTGCTGATGAGGGTAGTAGTAGCATCAGCGCCATTAGTAGCGGCGGGAGCAGCAGCTTTGGGAGCGAGGACTGGGTACCGCCAAAGCAGATGCGTAAGGTTATGTCGATTAAAATGGTGAAGAAGGATTTGCTTAGGCAAGCGGGGAGCAGCCGGGCAGTGGTGACGAGGCTCAGTGGGGGGGTTGGAGGCGGTATAGGGGAGTTCAGAGCGACGGGAGGGAAGGAGTTGAAACGATCAGAGGTCATGCATGTTAAAGGGGGTTCAGCCAGAGAGGCAGGAGGGGAAGGAGGGGGGATAGGTCAAACGGAAGGAGCTGGTTTTGGGGGATCAGCGAGGGTGGCAGGAGATGGGCTTGGAGGGATCGCTAGGGCAGGAGAGGATCGAATTGGGGGTTCAGCTAGGACGGCAGGAGAGACAGCAGGGGGGGGATTATTTGGATCGGGCAGCTTGCAAGGGCAAGGGCAGAGCAAAGGGGAGGAGCAGGGGCAGGGACAGGGAAAGGGTCAGGGGCAGGGATTAGAGAGTCCGAGCAGTCAACAACGCAGCCCTACAGTGGCTCCTATGAGGCCTGCTGTGCAGAGGAAGAAAATCAGCTTCTACCTGTCCCCTGTGATAGAGCCAAACGGTCCGGAGGAGAGCTCGACTAGCTCGGGGCTGGATCTGGGAGGAGGAGCAGCAGAGGCAGCAGCAGCAGCGGAGGCAGCAGCAGCGGCAGAGGCAGCAGAAAAGGCAGAGGCAGCAGCGAAAGCAGAGGCAGAAGCATTCGCTGAGGCAGCAGCAAAGGCAGAGGCAGAAGCAGCAGTTGAGGCAGCAGCAAAAGCAGAGGCAGCAGCAGAAGCAGAAGCTGCAGGAGTGGTGACGGCGGCAGCGGCAGAAGCAGCTGCAGAAGAGGCCACAGCAGGTGCCGAAGCAGCGGCGGCAATACAGGCCGAAGCAACAGCAGTGGCTGCAGCAGCAGCACAGGCAGCAGCAGCAGCTGAAGAAGCAGCAGCAGCAGAGGCTGCAGCGAGATCAGTGACTGCAGAAGCAGACGTAGCAGCAGCAGCAGAGGAAACAGCAGCAGCCGAGGCAGTGGCAGGAGTTGCACAGGCTGCAGCGGTAGCAGAGGCTGCAGCAGCAGCAGAGGCATCAGTCAAGGCAGAGGCTGCAGCAGAATCAGAAGCTGCATATTCTGAGGCAGCAGTGGCGGAAGAGGCAGTAGAAGCTGCAGCAGTGGCCGAGGCAGCAGCAGCAGCGGAGGCAGCAGCAGCGATACAAGCTGTAGCAGCAGCTGAGTCAGCAGCAGCGGCAGAAGCAGCAGCAGCAGCGGAGGCAGCAGAGGCAGCAGTAGCAGCAGAGGCTGGAGCAGCAGCGAAGACAACAGCAGAAGCTGACGAAGCAGTAGCCTCAGAAGCTGCAGCAAAATCAGAAGCTGCCAGTACAGAGGCCGCAGCAGCGACAGAGGCAGCAGAAACGGCAGCAGCAGCAGAGGCAGAAGCAGCTTCAGTTGCAGCAGAGGCTGCAGCAGAAGCAGAGGCAGCAGCAGAAGCACAAGCAGCAGTAGCAGCAGAGGCTGCAGCGGCGGCAGAGGCAGCAGAGGCAACGGCAGCAGCAGCAACAACAGAGGCCGCAGCAGCAACAGCAGCAGCAGCAGCAGAGGCAACAGCAGCGGCAGAGGCGGCAGCATCAGCAGTGGCCGCCACAGCAGCAGAGGCAGCAGCTGAAGCAGCGGCGGCTGCGGCAGCATTGGAAGCAGCAACAAATGCAGAAGCTGCTGCAGCAGCAGAAGCAGAGGCAGCAGCAGCAGCAGCAGAAGCTGCCGCAACAGCAGTGGCAGAAGCAGAGGCAGCAGCTGCAACAGAGGCAAAGGCGGCAGCAGAGGCAGCAGAGGCAGCAGCAGCAGCACAAGCTGAAGCTGCATCAGCTGCAGAAAACGCTGCAACTGCAGAGGCAGCAGCGGTTGCAAAGGCAACTGAGACCGCAGCAAAGGCCACAGCAGCAGCACTGGCTGCAGCAGCAGCAATAACAGTGGCAACTGCGGCGGCAAAAGCATCAGAATCTGCAGCAGTGGCAGAGGCAGCAGCAGAGACGGTGGCAGCCGAGGCAGCAGTAGCAGCAGAGGCTGCGGAAGAAGCAGAAGTTGCAGCAGCAGCAGATGCAAAGGAAGCAGCAGTGGCAGCAGAGGCAGCAGAAGCAGCAGTAGCAGCAGCAGCTGCGGCAGAGGCAACCGCAGAAGCAGCAGAGGCTGCAGCTAATGTAGAGGTAGAAGAATCAGAGGAGGCGGCAGGGGCAGCAGAGGTTGCAGCAGCAGCAGAAGCAGAGATAGCCGCGGCGGCAGAGGCAGCAGTGGTTGCTGCAGCGGCAGTGGCAGAGGCTGAAGAGGCAGTGGTAGCAGCAGCCGCAGATGCAGCATTTGCGGCAGAAGGAGAGGCATCAGCAAAAGCAGGGGTAGCAGCAACAGCTGCAGCGGATGCTGCAGCAGAGTTAGAAGCTGTAACAGTAGCGGAAGTAGAGGCAGGAGCAGCTACGGGGGCAGCTGCAGAAGCAAGGATTGCGGCAGAAGCAGAGGCAGCAGCGGCTACAATTGCAGAAGCAAAAGCAAGGGAGGCAGCAGAAGAAGAGGCAGTAGCAGCAGAGGCTGCAAGAACTGCAGAAACTGCAGCAGACGCAGCAGCAGCACCTTTGGCAGAAACGGCAGAAGCTGCAGACGAATCAGAGGCAGCAGCAGCAGCAGCAAAAGCAGCAGCGGCGGCACTGGCGGCAGCAGCTGCAGAGGCTGCTGAAGAAGCAGAGGCAGCAGAAGCAGCAGCAGCAGAGGCTGAAGGAGCAGCAGAGATTGCAACTGAAGCATTGGCAGCAGCAACTACAGAGGCTGCGCAGGCAACAGAGGCAGCAGCAGCGGCAGAGGCAATGGCAGCAGCAGCACTAGCTGCAGCTGAAGCAGATGCTGCAGAAGCAGAGGTAGCAGCAATATTAGCAGAAGCTGCAGGAGCAACAGATGCTGCAGCAGCAGCAGAAGCAGAGGCAACAGCAAAGGCAAAGGCTGCTGCTGCAGCAGAGGCAGCAGCAGAGGTTGCAGCAGCAGCAGAAGCTGCATCAGTAGCACAGGCTGCTGCAGCAGTGGCAGAGGCAGCAGCGGCAGCAGAGGCGGCTGCTGCAGCAGAGGCTGTAGCAGCAGCAAAGGCAGCAGCAGCAGAAACCACTGCTACCGCTGAAAACATCACTGCTGTTGAAGGTATTTCCACTGCCACTGCCATTGCAGGTGCTGCCACTGATGCTGCCACTGGTAGCACCATCATCACCACAGAAACTTCAATAGCAGAAACCGCTGCTACTGTTGGAAGCACCACTGCTGTTGGTGGTAGTTCCAATGCCACGCCTGGTCTTGCCACTGCTGGTGCTGCCACTGCTGGTGCTGCCACGTCTGGTCTTGCCACTGCTGGTTCTGCCACTGCTGGTGCTGCCACGTTTGGTGTTGCCACTGCTGGTGCTGCCACGTCTGGTCTTGCCACTGCTGGTGCTGCCACTGCTGGTGCTGCCACTGCTAGCACCTTCATCACAACAAAAACGTCAGCAGTAGCGATCGCTGGTACCGATGAAAGCACCACTGCTGGTGCTGCTAGTTCCTCCGCCACTGCTGGTGCTGCCACTGATGCTGGCACTAATAGCACCGTTATCACCACAGAAACTTCAGCAGAAGAAACCGCTGCTACTGCTGAAAACGCCTCTGCTGGTGGTAGTTCCAATGCCAATGCCACTTCTGGTGCTGCCACTGCTAGCACCATCATCACCACAGAAACTTCAACAGCAGAAACCGCTGCTACTGTTGGAAGCACCACTGCTGTTGGTGGTAGTTCCAATGCCACGTCTGGTCTTGCCACTGCTGGTGCTGCCACTGCTGGTGCTGCCACGTCTGGTCTTGCCACTGCTGGTGCTGCCACTGCTGGTGCTGCCACTGCTGGTGCTGCCACTGCTAGCACCTTCATCACAACAAAAACGTCAGCAGTAGCGATCGCTGGTACCGATGAAAGCACCACTGCTGGTGCTGCTAGTTCCTCCGCCACTGCTGGTGCTGCCACTGATGCTGGCACTAATAGCACCGTTATCACCACAGAAACTTCAGCAGAAGAAACCGCTGCTACTGCTGAAAACGCCTCTGCTGGTGGTAGTTCCAATGCCAATGCCACTTCTGGTGCTGCCACTGCTAGCACCATCATCACCACAGAAACTTCAACAGCAGAAACCGCTGCTACTGTTGGAAGCACCGCTGCTGTTGGTGGTAGTTCCAATGCCACGTCTGGTCTTGCCACTGCTGGTGCTGCCACTACTGGTGCTGCCACTGCTGGTGCTGCCACTGCTGGTGCTGCCACTGCTGCTGCTGCCACTGCTGCTGCTGTCACTGCTAGCACCATCATCACCACGGAAACTTTGGCAGGGGAAACCACTTCGAAATCTGGAGCAGCAAAGGCAGCAGCAGCAGCAGCAGCAGAAAACGCCGCTACTGCTGAAAGCGCCTCTGCTGCTGGTGGTTGTTCCGATGCTGCTGCCGCTGCTGCTGCTGCTGCTGCTGCTGCTGCTGCTGCTGCTGCTGCTGCTGCTGCTGCTGCTGCTGCTGCTGCTGCTGCTGCTGAAAACACCACTTCTGCTGGTGCTGAGACGGAAAGCATCACCATTACAGAAACTTCAGCAGAAGAAACCAACACCACCATGAAACCTGGTTCAGAAGCCGCATCACCAGCTCATTCAGACGCTCCACATTTTGATGCTCGGTCGAAATCGGGCCCTCTGGATAAGCTAGGCATTCCCGAGAGTTGGAGCGGAACAGCACTGAGTGCCACAGGCAGCAGAGCAGCAAGCAGCATGTCAAAATCCGGCCCGCTCAGCCTTGCAGGAGAGCCTGTGGGTGTGGGTGGGTCGCCTGGTGGGGGGAGTTCTGAAGGATCCCCTTGGAGCCAAGGATCTCCTGGCAGTGGTTTTGGTAAGTCCAGAAGTAAGGGGACAGTGGCAGGAGCAGGGGCAGGGGCAGGGGCGGAGAAGTCAAGCAAGTCAATGGCGTCAACCATGTCTTCAATGTTCCGATCGATTTCGCTCAACCCGTCGCGCCGCCGGGCAAGTGTGGGAGCGAGCAGCAAGAGCGGCAGCATTACCAGCAGCAAAAGCAGCAGCAGCGGCAGCATCCCTATTGAGGAGGACACGAGCAGCACCACCAGCAGCAGCAGCAGCGGTGCCATCGACAGCAGCAGTAGCAGGAGCAGCAGTGGCAGCGGGAGCATTGGCAGCGGTTCAGGAGGCGCACTGACAGCAGCCCAGAAGAGGGTTCGTTCGTCTATTTCCCTCAAGCTGGGCTCAACTGACCTACTGAGCAAGCGAGGGGGCAGCGGAGCAGCATTAATCAGCCCAGGTGCCAGCATAGGAGGAGGAAGTGGGCTGTTTGGATTCGGCAGCGGGCAGAAGCAGGGGAAGGGGAAAGGGAAGGGGCAGGGGCAGGAGCAGGGGCAGGGGCAGGGGCAGGGGCAGGGGCAGGAGCAGGAGCCTGAGAGTCCGAGTAGTTTACCCAGCCCTCTGTCGGCACCTGCCACTCCAGCCGCCCAGAGGAGGAGGCTTAGCTTCTTGTTTGACATTGGGCGGCCGGTTTTGTCCCCTGTTATAGAGCCGGATCAGCCGGTGGAGGGCTTAACTAGTTCAGGGCTGGAACTGGGGGAAGGGGCAGGGGAAGCGGTAGGAGGAGGGGAAATGGAAGGGGGAGGGGCAGGGGGAGAGGCAAGGGTAGGGGAAGGGGCAGGTGGGAGGGAAGGGGCAGAGGAAGCGGTAGGAGGAGGGGAAATGGCAGGGGGAGGGGCAGGGGGAGAGGCAGGGGTAGGGGAAGGGGCAGGGGGGAGGGAGGGGGCAGGGGGAGGGGAAGGGGAAGGAGGAAGGGAAGGGGCAGGGGGTTGGGAAGCAGCAGAGGGAGGGGAAGGGGGAGATGGAGGGAGGTTGGGCAGCCTTACCGGTGCTTTTAGTACTGGTGCTAGACCTAAGACTGAGTATGGAACTGAAAGGCTGAGCATTGCCTATGGTGCTGACGAGGAAGCCAATACTTATAGAGTTGATGGGCTTACCATTGCCGCTGGTGCAGTTGCCCAAGGTAAGACTGAATATAGAACTGAAGGGCTTAGTGCTGCTTCTGGTGCTGGTGCTGAATCCAAGACTGAGTATAGAAGTGAAGGGCTTACCGTTGCCTCTGGTGCTGTTGCTGAAGGTAAGACTGAATATAGAAGTGAAGTGCTTAGCGTTGCTTCTGGTGCTTCTGCTGGAGCTACGACGGAGCATGGAACTGACGGGCTAAGCATCCCTTCTGGTTCTCTTGTTGAATCCAACAAGACTGAATATGGAACCAAAGGGCTTAGCATTGCTTCCGGTGCTTTGGCTGAGTCTAAGACCGAGTATGGAAGTGACGGGCTAAGCATCGCTTCTGATGCTGGTGCTGGTGCTGGTGCTGGTGCTGGTGCTGGTGCTGGTGCTGGTGCTGGTGCTGGTGCTGGTGCTGGTGCTGGTGCTGAAGCTAAGACTCAGTATGCAACTAAATCTGGTGGCCTCTCTGGTCTCAAGGCTGGTGGTGCTGATGCTGTAGCTGCAGCAACAGCAGTGGCGGCAGCAGCGGCGGCACAGGCAGCCATGGCAGCAGCAGAGGTAGCAACAAGAGGAGAAGCTGAAGCAGCAGCGTTTGAGGCAGAAGCAGCGGGAGAGATAGCAGCAGCAGCAAAGGCAGCAGAAGCGGCAAAAGCAGCAGCAGCAGCAGCAGTAGAGGATGCAGCAGCTACTGCGGCGGCAATCGCAGCAGAGGCTGCAGCATCAGCAGAGTCGGCAGCAGCAGCAGCTAACGCAACAGCAGCAGCCGCAGAGGCAGCTGCAGAGGGAGAGGCAGTAGCAGCAGCCGAAGCTGCAGCAGAGGCAGAGGCAGCCGCAGCAGCAGGAGCAGCTGCCGTGGAAGAAGCTTCAGCAGCATCAGGGATGGCTGAAGCAGCTGAAACAGAAGCTTCAGCAGCAGCAGAGGCAGCAGAGTCGGTAGTGGCAGCAGCAGCATCGGAGGCAGCAGCAGCAGGAGAGGCTGCAGCAGTAACAAAGGCAGCAGCCTTGGCAGCAGCTGCAGCAGCTGCTGCAGGAGCAGCAGCAGAAACTGCAGCAGAAGAAGCAGAAGCAGAGGCAGCGGTGGCTGCAGAAGTGGCAGCAGCAGCAGTAAGGGGCACCGCAATGACAGAAGAGGCTGCAACAACAGCAGAAGCAGAGGCAGCAGCGTTGGCAAACGCAGCAGCAGCTGCAGAGGTCGCAGCAGCAGAAGAGGCCAGAGCAGAAGCAGAAAGAGAGGCAAGGGCAGCAGAAGAGGCAGCAGCAGTGGTAGTGGCTGCCGCAAAAGCCGAAGCAGAGGCAACAGCAGAGGCTGCAGCGAAAGCAGAAGCAGAGGCAAGAAAAGCAGCAGAGGCAGCAGCAAGGGCAAACGCTGTTGCAAAGGCCGAAGCAGAGGCAAGAGCAGCAGCAGAGGCTGCAGCAAAGGCAGAGGCTGCTGCAAAAGCCGAAGCAGAGGCAAGAAAAGCAGCAGAGGCAGCGGCAAAGGCAGAGGAAGCAGCAAAGGCAGAGGCTGCAGCGAAAGCAGAAGCAAAGGCAAGAAAAGCAGCAGAGGCAGCAGCAAGGGCAGAGGCTGTTGCAAAGGCCGAAGCAGAGGCAAGAGCAGCAGCAGAGGCTGCAGCAAAGGCAGAGGCTGCAGCAAAGGCAGAGGCTGCAGCAAAGGCAGAGGCTGCAGCAAAGGCAGAGGCTGCTGCAAAGGCAGAGGCTGCTGCAAAGGCAGAGGCTGCTGCAAAAGCCGAAGCAGAGGCAAGAAAGGCAGCAGAGGCAGCGGCAAAGGCAGAGGCTGCAGCGAAAGCAGAAGCAGAGGCAAGATCAGCAGCGATGGTGGTGACAGTTCCACGCTCCAACACTCGCCCTCACTCTCGCCGGCACGACAGATCAGCAAGTGGAAAGAAGCAGGGAGGACGGGGGAGAGGAGGCAAGGGAGGAGCAGGAGGAGGGCTGGTTGGGGGAGCAGGGCGGGCAGTGGTTGCTATTGCAGGAGGCTTGTTCTTGCTGGCGATTGGGGCTACCATTGGCAAACCGGGCCGGCAGAACAGAAGGCAGAAGAAACCGTTGTACCATGAGGTGCGTTTGTGCATAATGGCATGGGGAGGGGTGGTTGGGGGGGTAGGGCGGGCAGTGGTTGCTAATGCAGGGGGGCTGTTTCTGCTGGCGATTGGGCTTACCATTGGCAACTCTGCCCTCTCTGCCCTCCCTGCCCTCCCTGCCCTCCCTGCCCCTCTCCTGCTCTCCCTGCCCTCCCTGTCCTCTTTGCCCTCTTCCCCTTCTCCTTCTCCCCTCTGCTCGCAGGTGGAAACAGGTGACACCATGTGTGCTATAGCCGATCGCTACTGTGTGTGAGTGGATGCAATGAAGGAGGCGAACCAAGAGGGCCTGGTGGAAGATCCTCACATGATACCTGCCCTCCCTGCCCCCTCCCTGCCCTCCCTGCCCTCCCTGCCCCTCTCTGCCTTCACCTCGCCAGGTGGAATCAGGCGACACCATGTGCGCTATAGCTGACCGATACTGCGTGCGGGTGGATGCAATGAAAGAGGCGAACCAGGAGGGGCTAGTGGAAGATCCAGATGTGATCTTCCCAGGGGACCTCCTCGTCGTTCCCCCCAAGGAATGACGAAGCAGAGCAGCCTTCTCCTCTTCTTCTTCTTCATTCCAGCGTAATCCCCCGCTGCCTTTTTGCCTCCCCAAGAGGGGCTAGTGGAAGATCCAGATGTGATCTTCCAAGGGGACCTCCTCGTCGTTCCCCCCAAGAAATGACAAGGCTGCCACCTGCCTGCCTGCTGCCTCTCTCCAACGTAAACCCTCCCTGCCTTTTGAGTCGACTCAAACTCAAAAGTCTCATCTTCTTTTCATCTTGGAATTCCTCCCAGAAAAGCCCCTCCTCATTCCTACTACTTCAATGCAAAGCAGCCTTCTATATTTCTCAACTCCTCTCCCTGCCCTCCCCTCTCTTCCTCTCTTCCCTTCTAATCCCCAGGTGAGACCTGGTGACACCGTGTGTTCAATTGCTGACAAGTTCTGCCTTCACCCCGACACGGTTATTGACGCAAACGAGGGGAGGATGGCGGAGGACCCTGATATGATTTTTCCCGGCGATATGATCTTCATTCCCATATGATTTATCTGGGAGTTTGTCAAAATAACGGTGGTTGTCTTTATGTAGTTTTCGTGGCACCCGAATGCAAGGAAATATGATTTTCCTTGCTGGTGTTTGCAGTAACAACATTGTGCTTGCATTGGGGTTACCCTTGTGTGCTTGTGAGTTTAATTTTTTGGCGCCTCAAAAATCAACTCTTTGCAGTAACAACATTGTGCTTGCGTGGGAGGGAGTTACTCTTGTGTGCTTGTGAGGGAGCAACGGTACATAGGAAAAATAAAGTGCCAGGTTAATTATATGATTTAATTCATTATACTGGAATGGAGTGTAGCTTCACTCCTTTAATGACCTGCTCCTCTGTTAACGAGTACAGAGCATCCATGAGGCCCACTCTCAGGGAACCAGGGCCTTGGACCTCTGGTGTTGCTGATGCCACTTCAGATGCGAGCCTGGATACAGTGGCAAGGGAAGACGAGGGGAGAAAATAGAATGAGATTCAGCTTCAATCCTTGAGAAAGGAGCAGCAGCAGAATCAGTACAGTAATCAATAGCAGCAGTACCCACAGCAGCAGGGGAAGCAGCGATGAGAGAAGTGACGCTGCGACCATCGGCGGTGATTGCTTGAAGGAGACATGGGTAAAATAAGAGAGAAGTGAAGGCGAATTACCCGTAAACATCGAGAGCACAGGCCGATGCGAGTAGAGGCAGTGAGACATCAGCAGCCGCATCCGCAGCAGCAGCAGCAGCAGCAGCAGCAGCAGCAGCAGCAGCAGAAGCAGCAAGGAAAGCAGCGATGAGAGCAGTGACGCTGCAGCCAGTGGCGGTGATGGCTTGAAGCAGAGATGGCTGGAATGCCCTTGGAAGGCCAACAGAGAGGAGAAGTGGAGGCGGCTTACCCATAGAATGCGAGAGCACAGGCCGTCGCGAGGAGAGGCGGTGATACAGAAACACCCGAGGCAGGAGCAGCAGTATCCATAGCAGCAGCAACGAAAGCAGTGATGAGAGCAGTGACACTGCAGCCAGTGGCGGTGATGGCTTGAAGGAGTGGCACCCCGTTGTCACACGCCAGCACGGTGCGACCGTCTGTGATGAAATCCGTTGCTCCCGACACTGCCACCACTGTATTCCACTCTGCTGCAAGCTGCTGTGCTGCCGCCACTGCTGCTGTTGATGCTACTGTGCTGTCTACCCCCTGGTGGGGGTAAGGGGTTGGAGAGGGGAGGAGAGAAGCGATGTAAGCAGAGGCACACCGTTGTGACACGCCAGCATGGTGCGACTGTCGGTGATGAAATTTGTTACTCCCGACACTGCCACCACTGTATTCCACTCTGCTGCAAGCTGCTGTGCTGCCGCCACTGCTGCTGTTGATGCAACTGTGCTGTCTACCCCCTGGTGGGGGGTGGGGTTTGGGGGGGTGGGGTGTGGGGTGTGGGGGAGGAAGGAGAAGCAGGGGCGGAAGGAGAAGCAAGGGATTGAGTCTGTTGCTCCCGACACCGCCACCACCACTGTCACTTTCATGCAGCGTCACTCTGATGCAAGCTCCTGTGCTGCTGCTTCTGCTGCTGTAGATGCTACCGTGCTGTCTACCCCCTGGTTGTGTGTTGGGGAGGAGAATAGTGGAAGGTGCAGTTACATGTGGTTTGAAACATATAAGATTTTGTTTTTTCAGTTGAATGAAGAATCGCCTCGGTACATACCTCATAAGCACACAACAGATGTTAACGTTGGCCTACCCGGGTGTTCGCGCTGATGGTGCCTGCCAGAGAAAGCAGTTCCACATTCAACCAAAACACCATAACTCCCCCCAAATACCCCCCCCCCCCCCCCCCCCCCAGAAAAAAAGAGAAAAAGCAAACAACAGAATGTTGGGGTTTGGCCTACCCGGGTGTTTGCGCTGACGGCGCCTGCCAGAGCTAGCACTTCAGACGCGTTCCCTCTCACCACCGTTGGTCGCAGTGCCAGGAGCTCCGCTGAGGTCTGCAAGAACGCAGAGATGAAAGAGAAAGGGAGTTGGGAAAGCACAGGATTCGACGCCTGCCAGAGCTAGCACTTCAGACGCGTTCCCTCTCACCACCGTTGGTTGCAGTGCAAGGAGCTCTGCTGAGGTCTGTGAGAGAGGGTGGAGGTGAGTGGGAAGGGGTGAGAGTCGGTGAGAAGAGGTGAGAGATGAGAAACGGATAGCGATAGAGATGGAGGTTGATTGGGTGTGCGTAAAGGAGGAAAGGCAGGCGAGAATAGGCAGGAGAGGAAAGGCAGGTGAGAACATCAAGCCTACCTTGGTTCGGCGAGAACGAGCCTAGCTTGGTTCGGCGAGAATGAGCCGACCTTGGTTCGGCGAGAATGAGCCTACCTTGGCTCGGCGAGAATGAGCCTACCTTGGTTCGGTACGACGTGGCACCGCAACCCACAGGGTCCAGGACCCACGGCCGATTCCGGGCAGAAATAACTTTGGCTGCCCGTTTCATGGAGTCCACCCAATCAGGGCTCAGAGTGCCGATGTTGACATAGAGCGCCGATGCCAGGCTGGCAAATTCCTCCACCTGGCGGCTTGAGGATAGAATGGGGGAGAAAGAGAAGGGAGGAAGGGGGAATGGAGAGGGGAGGGATGGTGGGGAGGTGTGAGGGGAGGGGTGGTGGGGAGGGGTGAGGAGAGGGGTGGTGGGGAGAGGTGGTGGGGGTTTGAGGGAGGAAAGGACAGGGTGAGTTGTGGTGCGGGTGTGACCTTTGAGAATTCTCTAAAGTAATACCAATATGGTGCGGGTGTGACCTTTGAGAATTCTCTAAAGTAATACCAATATGGTGCGGGTGTGGGAATGTTTCCTGGGAAAATCCTCCACTTGCGGGGCTCGAGGGGGAAGAGCGAAAGGGGGAGGAGGAAGGGGGAAGGGGGAAGGGGGAAAGGGGGAGGGGGAAGTCCAGCGCACCTCTTCTAAGGAATGCACCATGGCCGGCGCGGCGCCAGCGGCGAGGAGGGTGTTGGCAGCAGCATCCATGGATACGAAGTTGGTGATGCAGTGAACTAGAGGGCGGCTCCTGCGCACCGCTACCAGTGCCTTCCACGCCGCTGCTGCCAACGCGGGATCGCCGCCGCTCGCCGGCGGCTCGCCTTTCGCCGCCGCACGCGCCGCCGCTGCCCGCTTCGGCGGTGAGCGAATCCGGGTGGGGGAGGGTGCCCCGCGGAAGAGGACGCGGGAGAGGGCGCATGGGGAAGGGATGCGCACGGCACTTGCGGGGGGAATGCGCGGGAATGTGAGGGGAAATGCGCAAACTTGCGGAGGGGACGTATGCAATGGGACGGCAGATGAAACATGGGAGGCGGCGAACGAAGGCTGCAGGTGAGTCGCCATGGATGTGTTCAGGATTCGAGCTGACAAAAAAAAAAAACCGGATTTACTACAAATAAAGAATCATCCCTGTGAATGTTATGGATTCGACGACCGAGCCGTTCATGCTAATCATGCTATCCTAGGCATTCTTGTAAGATCAGGGGGCGATTATGACCCCCCTAGAGATTAGCTTCTTCCTCAAAATCGCACCCAACCGTTTAAAATGCCTCACGAAACTCTTTATCTTGCAAGGCACCGCACGAGAGCATGTCATTTCGCAGATCCGCAACACACTGAGCAATTTCGCATTCGCTTCAGCGCGGGAAACAGTTTTGCGAAATGTTACCAGACCAATATTCGATCAGGTCGTCGCTGAGCACACAAGTCTCGTCACTGCAGCTGCCTTGGGATCTCCGCCACACTCGATAGAAGAAACGCTCCTCTGTCACAGTTTTCAAGCCTCATCATCCACGAATCAGGCTTCGATATAAGCACGCTGACCAGTCTCCCCAAATTCCTAAATCCTGACACCCCATTGCAACGGTCTCGTTTTCTTTTCCTCCTAGTCTCACGCCACGTTCCCTTGGCGCATCCGCCGTTTCAGGCGGCATTGTTCAGGGAATAGTGCAGGTATTTCTTCTCCCTTAGCAATCCGACTCACTACGGATCGCATGTCGCGATCGCCTGCCTGCAGTTGAGCCAATGCGCTGCTTATCCAACCAGCTTTTGCCAGGTCAGCTTTTTGTTTTTCGCGGTACAATTAGTTATTGACCTAGAATATAATGCATTTATTCTTCATTATATCATGCGTACCTGCTGTTCTTTGACCATCATTGATGCATTGGGATGGGATCGTCATTACCTCGCTCCCAGCACTTTCCCCACAAGCGTCTGAATTGTTTTTTACCTCACCATACCGAACTCAATCGAACCCTTTTCAACCTTGTTCCTCCTTCCCCTTCCGTACGTTCCTGGCTTACTGCGTCCCGCGTCACACGCGTACTGTCCCGCTGGTTATGATCACATGTCGCAGTGGTAACTCCTTGCCTTCGCTGCTTCGGCTCCTACGCGAGGATTTCGTCCTTTCCACAAGTTGCCGCTGCTCCCGCGGTTCTCCGCATTTCCGCGCCCCCCGCGGTTCTTCGCCACTCCGCCTCCGCTTCCGCTTCCGCCTCCGCCTTCAACCCCCGCAGCAGCACCCTCGCTTGGCGTTCCGCGAACCCTCTCTCTGCGCAAATTGCAGCACCTGTAACAGCGTTCGTGAGACCCTCGCGAAACTCCACAAGCGTCGCAGCGATGGCCAGCGAATCTGCAGCAGCGGCGGCTGAAGCGGTGAAATCCATGGAAATCAGCGGAGGAGAGAAGGTGGGTAGGGAAGGAGTGGGAAGGGGAGGTGCGAGGGGGAGGCGTTTTGAGTCGGCTCATAAGATTTTTGTCGACTCAACAGTTAAGGGTTCACGTAAATGTCCTCTTTAGCCTGAATGCAACCGTCCGTCCCCTCTCCCCCCTCTCCCCTCTCCCTCCCCCTCTTTCCCCCGCCCCTTCCCCCACACGTTTCCCCCTACCTTCTTCAAACTCTCCTCCCTCTTACCTTTCCCTTCGCGCTCGCCTTCCCCTCTCCTGTTTTCTTCTCCCCGTCAGGGTCAGGAGGGCAGCGTGCGTGACCTGGTTGCTCAGCTCGTGGCGGAGTCGCTGGCAAAAACTTTTCCCGACCTGTCCGATCTGGAGCCGCTGGTTACCACGTGTAACAACCCGAAGTTCGGGGACTACCAATGGTGCGTCTGCTCTGCGTGTTCTGCTTCACATGCTGCAATGGCTATTACCAGCTGTTTTTTATTAGGTCCGCCTGCTGCTGCCTGCCTCTGTGGCATCCTGTCTTTCTGTCTATCCATGTGTGTGTGACAGTGAATCACTGTCAGTCCGTCTCGTTTCCTCTCGTTCTGTCGTTCTCTCTCTCCCCACGTGCGTGCAGCAACAACGCCATGGGCATCTGGTCGCGCATCAAGGGGTCCACCACCGAGTTCAAGAACCCCAATGCCATCGGCCAGGTGAGAGAGCGGGTGTGTTCGTTTTCATTCATGTGCATGATCATGTGCATGCGCACGTGTGGTGTCAGTCAGTGAGTGGGAGTTTGCCGCGTGAGTCCCTATTGGCTTTTGAACTCTCCCTCCGCTTCCTGTCCTCTGCTCTTCCCATTTCATCCCACCCAGGCAATTGCCAAAAACCTGCCGCCCTCCCCGATGGTGGAAAAGACGAGCATCGCCGGCCCGGGCTTCGTGAACATCGTCCTTACTCAGGCATGGCTGGAAGACCACGTGTCTGGCGTCTTGAAGGGCGCTGGCATCGCTGCGTGGGCGCCGAAACTGCCCGTGGCGCGTGCACTGGTGGACTTTTCATCTCTCTCCCTTCCTAACAACCATACCCTTTCCGTCCCCATATCTCTACCCTCCCTCCTCCCCTCCCAGGCGATTGCCAAGAACCTGCCGCCCTCCCCGATGGTGGAAAAGACGAGCATCGCTGGCCCGGGCTTCGTGAACATCGTCTTAACGCAAGCCTGGCTGGAAGACCACGTGTCTGGCGTCTTGAAGGGCGCTGGCATCGCTGCGTGGGCGCCGAAACTGCCCGTGGCGCGTGCATTGGTGGACTTTTCATCTCTCTCCCTTCCTAACAACCATACCCTTTCCGTCCCCATATCTCTACCCTCCCTCCTCCCCTCCCAGGCGATTGCCAAGAACCTGCCGCCCTCCCCGATGGTGGAAAAGACGAGCATCGCTGGCCCGGGCTTCGTGAACATCGTCTTAACGCAAGCCTGGCTGGAAGACCACGTGTCTGGCGTCTTGAAGGGCGCTGGCATCGCTGCGTGGGCTCCTAAACTGCCCGTGGCGCAAGCAGTGGTGGATTTCTCGTCGCCCAACATCGCCAAGGAGATGCACGTGGGGCACCTCCGGTCCACCATCATTGGTGACACGCTGGCCAGGATGCTCGAGTACTGCCACGTGGAGGTGCTCCGGAGGAACCATGTCGGCGATTGGGGCACCCAGGTAGGACCAGGGGTTTAGGGTTTTAAGGGGATGTTCAAGGAGATGCACGTGGGGCACCTCCGGTCCACCATCATTGGCGACACGCTGGCCAGGATGCTCGAGTACTGCCACGTGGACGTGCTCAGGAGGAACCACGTTGGGGACTGGGGCACCCAGGTAGGACCAGGATTTAGGGTTTCGGATACGGTAAAGGGAATGCTCGAGTACTGCCACGTGGAGGTTCTCAGGAGGAACCACGTCGGCGACTGGGGCACCCAGGTAGGTGGAACGAGGGGGTGGGAATCGGGTTTCAGGGTTCAGGGTTCAGGGTCTGAGGTGTCTGGTTGAAGACAAAGACACGGCACAGCCCTGCACGCCTGCTCATTTCCCTCCTTCTACTCTTCTACCTCTTCCCCTCCCTCATCTTCCTTCTTCTTCACCTTTCCTCCACACACGTACACACACCCCACACCCGCATCCCTTCCTTCCTCCAGTTCGGCATGCTGATAGAGTATCTGTTTGACAAGTTCCCCGACTGGGAGACGGTGGGCGAGCAAGCCATAGGCGACCTGCAGGTGTTCTACAAGGCGGCCTAGAAGGGGTTCGATGAGGACGCAGAGTTCAAGGAGAGGGCTGCTGCTCACCACCCTCCTTCCACTCCTCCCTTCCGTTTCCACTCCTCTCTTCCCCTCCCTCCCGTCCCCGCCCTCTGCTCCCCTCCCTCCCGTTCTCTGTGTCACATCAGTTCGGCATGCTGATAGAGTATCTATTCGACAAGTTCCCCGACTGGGAAACCATCGGCGATCAGGCCATCGGAGATCTCCAAGTCTTTTACAAGGCGGCCAAGAAGCGCTTCGACGAGGATGCAGAGTTCAAGGAGAGGGCGCAGAGGGCGGTGGTGAAGCTGCAGGGGGGGCGAGGAGGAGTACCGTAAGGCATGGGCCAAGATCTGTGACGTCAGCAGGAAAGAATTCGATTTGGTTTACCAGCGGCTGGGCATCAAACTCGAGGAGAAGGTGAGGTTCGGGTTTTGCTTGCCAGTGTTTCTGTGGAGCTGGAATATGGGTACACGGGGAGCAGTTTTTTTGGCTTGCTGGTGTTTCTGTGCTGCTGAAAGGGTTTCTTTTCCCAGGGTTGGGAGGTCAAGGAGAGGGTGCAGAGGGCAGTGGTGAAGCTGCAGGGGGGGGGAGGAGGAGTACTGGAAAGCTGGTATTTCTATCTTTATCTTCTCTTTTCCCGTTGCCCTCCACTCCCCATCAACCAGGGCGAGTCGTTCTACAACTCGTGCATCCCTGCAGCATTGGAAAAGATCAAGGCAGCTGGGCTGGTGGTGGAGAGTGAGAGGGGGAAGAGGGGGAAAGGGTTTGGAAGCTATGGGTTATGCACTCCTCCTCACCTCACTCCCCACCCACCCACACTCCCAACCCCCACCAGGGCGAGTCGTTCTACAACTCGCACATCCCTGCCGCACTCGAGAAGCTCAAGGCAGCTGGGCTGGTGGTGGAGAGCGAAGGGGGGGGGAAAGAGTTTGGTACCTTTTTTTCTTCTTCTTCTCACTTTTCACCCACTCGTCCCTTCTCTCCCCACCAGGGCGACTTTCGAGGCGCCTCAAAATTGGTACCTTGTTTTCTTCTTCTTCTCATTTCTCACCCACTCGTCCCTTCTCTCCCCACCAGGGCGAGTCGTTCTACAACTCGCGCATCCCTGCAGCACTTGAGAAGCTCAAAGCAGCCGGGCTGGTGGTGGAGAGCGAGGGGGCGCAGTGCATATTCGTGGAGGGGCATAAGGTGCCTCTGATCGTTGTGAAGAGCGACGGAGGGTTTAACTACGCCACCACCGACCTTACCTGCCTGCTGTAAGTTGCTTGGCACGTAATGGTGTGAAAGGGCCAGTGAAGAAGAGAGCGAGGGCGCACAGTGCGTCTTCGTGGAGGGCCACAAGGTGCCTCTGATCGTTGTGAAGAGCGACGGAGGGTTTAACTACGCCACCACCGACCTTACCTGCCTGCTGTAAGTTGCTTGGCACGTAATGGTGTGAAAGGGTCAGTGAAGAAGAGAGCGAGGGCGCACAGTGCGTCTTCGTGGAGGGCCACAAGGTGCCTCTGATCGTTGTGAAGAGCGATGGAGGGTTTTAACTGCGCCACCACGGATCTCACCTGCCTGCTGTGAGTTGCTTGGCCGAGTGTGACTGCTGTGAGCCTGTGAGTGGGTGGAGAGCATGGGTGCTTGTGGAGTGACGTCGGGCTGGTAGTGGAGAGCGAGGGGGCACATTGCATATTCGTGGAGGGCCACAAGGCTCCTCTGATCGTGGTGAAGAGTGATGGGAGGTTCAATTACGTTCCTCCCAGCAGGAACATATGAGCAGGAACATATGAGCAGGAACATATGAGCAGGAACATATGAGCAGGTTTTGAGACGTCTCAAAGCAGGAACGTATGGTTCAACTTTTGATGCCCATACGTTCCTGCTCTCCTCCCACTCCCCACCCACTTCCCCCCCCTTCCCCCCCAGCTACTGCATAGAGGAGGAGAAGGCGGAATGGGTCGTAAATGTCATCCGTGTCTGTCCTCCAGTCCCCTTCTTTCTAATCTCCTTTCCTTCTCCACCCTCCCCTCCCTCTCCTCCCCCTCTCCCCTCCCACCTCCCCCCAGTTATCGCATATAGGAGGAGAAGGCGGAGTAGGTCGTCCTAATCAAGGACGTTACTTGTCTCTTCCTTTCCCAGGGCCCTTTCCTCCATCCCCTTCCCCCACTCTCCCCTCAACCTCTCACCAACCTCCCTCACAGCCACCGCATAGAGGAGGAGACATGGCGGAGTGGGTTGTCCACATGACGTGGTGCCTCCCTCGCTTGCTGTGCCTCCCTTGCCCTCCCTCACCTCTCACCTCGCTCTCTCCTGCCCCTGCATTCCCCCTCCCTCCCAGCTACCGCATAGAGGAGGAGAAGGCGGAGTGGGTCGTCTATGTCACAGACGTCTGTCCTCTCATTCCCTGCTGTTGCTCTCTTCCCCGTTCCCCCCCCTCCCTCATCCAATATGATAACCCCCTCCCCCCAGCTACCGCATAGAGGAGGAGAAGGCGGAGTGGGTCGTCTACGTCACGGATGTTGGGCAGTCGCAGCATTTTGACATGTTTTTCAAGGTGAGCTCAAGGTGAGCTCTGGGCTTGAATAAGTTTCTCAAGGTGAGCTCTGGGCTTGAATAAGTTTCTCAAGGTGAGCTCTGGGCTTGAATAAGTTTCTCAAGGTGAGCTCTGGGCTTGAATAAGTTTCTCAAGGTGAGCTCTGGGCTTGAATAAGTTTCTCAAGGTGAGCTCTGGGCTTGAACAAGTTTCTCAAGGTGAGCTGCTGAACATGATTTTTCTCTCTCTGACAAGTCAGCACTTCACGTTGGGCAGTCGCATCGCAGCACTTCACGTTGGGCAGTCGCATCGCAGCACTTCACATTGGGCAGTCGCATCGCAGCACTTTGACATGTTCTTCAAGGTGAGCTCTTGGCCTGAGGCGTTTCAATGATCGTCTCACTTGACGCTGGGCAGTCTAAGTGTTCTTGACGTTTCATGTTCTTGACGCCAACTGCTCAACGTCACAGCCCTTCAACGTGTTTTTCCAGGTGACCTGCTCCCCCATGTGACGTATTCTGCAAGGCTTCTATGCGGGCATAGCCAAGAAGGGCAAGGCAGTAAAAGCAGAGGAGGGAGAAGAAGCAGAAAAGGCAGCACCCTCTATTCGAGTGGACCGTGTGGGATTCAATAAAGCTGGTGCTGGGCGAGGATGAAAAGCGGCTCCTCTCTTGTAGGCCGTAATCGTGTCTGCTCTGTCCTCCCTTTCTTCCGCCTCCGCCCTCCCGCCATCCTCCACCCTGCAGGCGGCGCAAAAGGCGGGCTTCTATGCGGGCAAGGCTAAGAAGGGCAAGGCAGCAGCTGTTGAA